TGGTATATATTAATATCAATATATTGTATATATTAATATATATTAAATACATTTAATATATAGGATAAGTTAGTGTATAATAAATATGCATGAGCTCATGTAACACAGTTGAAGGCAACTTTTAAACAGCACAGATTTGGAGGATTTCTATATAAAAGAATATAAATCCCCTATACTTATTATTAATGACTTCATGGTTTTATAAAGATCGTGGTTTATGTTTTCACTTCTTAAATAGTGACTTAGTTAATTAGAATTGGCTTCATCCACTGGTTTGGGCTCATAAGTCACTGAAATCCTGTCTATATGTTGCTTGTGTGGTTTGTGAACTTGTCTCTTATATATTAGAATGCATAGCTATGTAGCTTTTTGTTGTATGAATTAAAAATTTGGATGTGATTCACAGTAGAAATAATCTGTCACTGACTGAATGTGTCTTCACATGGAACGCTTGTTTACCTGTTGATTCTGACATTCAGGGTGTGTGGGCTTGGGGGGTGGGTGCAGCAGGTGGCTTCTGACCTTTTTTGTCCTTCTAAAGTGGTAGTGAAGAAACAGTTGTATGTCAATGATTCAGTCAGTGGTGAAGGTCCTGCCTCATATTTCCTGCCTAGACTTCTCTACTGCAGTGTGTTGCTGAGGGAAAATCTGATGACAGCTTCTTACTGTGTGTCAGTCAGTGTGCTTCTCATTTAGTGTTTATTTTCTGTGGTTCTCTGTGGGTATTTTTTACTTACTATCCAAAAAAGGGAACTGAGGTTTTGAGAGGTAAAGTAACTTTCCCTACCAAGGTAGTGAAGCAGAAACTTTAAATCACCATGCAAATTTTATTTGTATCATAACAATGGAAATATGACAAATGCAAAAGGAAAGGTGTGTACATATCTCCTTGTTAGTTACAACCACACAATTATATATTTTCCCCTTAAAATGATCTAGTAAGTTTTTAGTTATAGCTAAACTTCATTAACTTATGTATTTATTTCTCTCAGGACACAGAGCTCTGGAATTTCTTCATCTCCAGGTTGGGAGTGTTAACTACAAAGAGGTATAAAGTTTGATCCTGCTTTTATTCCTTGTGCATTAACTTTCATCCCAATGCAGGTCCTCACTATTCGCAAATTTATCAGGGCTATTCTGGCTCTAACTGGTATTTCTAATTCTACAGCTAAATAATTCTTTGAGGCAAAGATATTCCTTAAATATTTTCATTTAATAGAATATTTAACATACCTTGATGCTACCAGAATAGGTTCAAATTGTCACTAGTACATCCTGGTAACCTAGAATGGAAAGCACAATGGTCAAATAACTAAAATGTATTATATCCCCAAATTACTATAAGTCAGTAGTTTCCATTTCCTTAATCACGAACTTCACAGGCCCCATGCCAGTATTTATATTTGCTACTCATTGTCACACTGGTTTAGAAACAGCATTTAGATGATTGTCAACCTCATTAACCTGATAAAAAATAAGCAGGCAAGAGAAAGAAGCAGGAATCTGCCAAACTGATCACTCAGTCCCAAGTGTGTGCACAACTGATTTCTCTAGTAGAGGGATTCGTGAACTCATTAGCTCAATTGAAAATGTGTTCAATGAGAGCCTGCACTCAGCACTGTTCCGTTGCACGTACCCATATCATTGCTGGAAATGACTAAGTAACCTGAGCCATCCTTTTTTCTTTTTAACTTATGAACACAGGTACGAACTATCTTGTCTTCTATAACATTGTCATCAAATCCCTTCTCAAGGAGTGATGGGAATCTCTGCTATCTCCTATTCTTCTTAATTTTTTAATACTTTTTAATTGCTGTCACTTTATTTTCTTCATTTTCTCCCATTATTGTTTATTTTTGTACAATATTTTATTTCTCGACTCATGTATAGTCCCCATAAATCTCCCATTACATCACCCATGAACCATCATTCTAGTCACTTGTGCTCTTCCTTCTGCTATTTTGACCCCTCTTGATCCCCTGATATATGCCTCAGATTTATAGTTTGCGTGCAACTTTTGCTGAAACTAGAAGGGATTCTGATAGGTCAGAAAGAAAAAAAATATTGATGGTTTCACTTATAGGAGGAACCAAAGGGCCAAAAAAAAAAAAAAAAGAAGCAAAACTGTACTCCCTATTAAAGCTTGCTTCTCCGTAACCTCAAGGACTCACCAGAAAGTTTGGTGAAATAGTACAGAGAAAGGGTCTGATGGGTGGGTGATAGAGTCTCACAGACTGGCAAGATCTGCACATTTGGGGTCTGAATTGTGTTAGTCTGGAGTTACCTTTTGTTAGGACATTATCTTTTGCTTGGACACCAGAGCTGACTACTGCACTTTAATGATGTTGACTGATACTAAACAAATTAGTAACAGAATAATGTACAAAGCTGAGAAAATAGGTGTATTCACTAATCAGAATTGTAAGAACCTCCTCTTGGTGGCCATTTGACCTTTGTGGGATAGATATGGAGTAAGCCAGTCAACCAAGGAAGAACATTTAGTAGAGATCCTTTACTATCTACTTTTCTAATCATTTTTTAAAGGGAAAGGATCATAAGATGAAGAGAAAATTCAAATAGGTGATTGTTGCTACATCTAAGTTAGACTATATTTAGTAGGAAAAATTCTGAAGTTTTAGATTGTAGTGTGTTGATGGGTTATGTATTATTTATTTATTTATAATAAACCTACGCCTTCTTCCCTTCTACGTTCTAAATGGTTCTATCCAGAGCCTTCCATAGCTAGAAGTTGACTGGTAAATAGTGCTTCCCAAGCTATTGTATCTTGCCCCCTAATCTCTGTATTGTCTTTATTCCCAGTTGTTACTTGCACACCAGGATGCCTATCAGGCTGGAACTGTGTTTCCTGATTCTTTTTATCCCAGCATCTGTGAAAGAGGTAAGATAAAGATTTGTAGGTCCCAAAGTGCCACTTTTGCTAGGTTATTATGTTCCATAAATGTTGCTCAATGACTTGGTTCATAGAAATGCCTTTTCTATTTAGCCACCATAGGAATTCTGAATATTTTGTTCTTGGGGACTTTAATTGCTTCACTGCTTTTAAATGGCAGAAGGGAAGCCTTTTGAAAAAGGTCAAAAGGCCTGAGTTTTTTGTTCCTTCTATGTTGCCAGTTAACATATGACCTCAACATAGTCGCTTACACACCGAGTTTCAGTTTCCATGTCTGTAGCAATAGTGATGGTAATGCTAGTTCTTCTTCCTCACTGGATTTTTGTGGGCATTAATTGGTGCTATTTTGCTCAGTGGTTGGCAAATCTGAGGTCGTGTTATCAACAAACTGGGTTTATGGATTGTATCAGTCAGGGACCAGCAGGATACACCCAAATGAATCATTGGAAGCACTGTTACAAGGACTTATAAGAGGACTGTTTACAAAGGTATAAACAAGAAGTGTGACAATTGTAAGGGATGGTGTCTGGGAGGCAATGGTTACTGGAACTTTGATCAAAGAGAAGAGGTGTGGAGAGTGAAGCTTGAGGGAAGTCAGACCTTCCATTGAGGGACATGGCGGTCCCCCAGAACCCATAGAGACAGACTATCCCAACCGTCTTAGGTCTTTAATCTGATCTGTCTGTTCTCCCCACTGGGCAGACTCAACCCAACCAAACCCAGAGACATTTGAGGCATGGCCACCTCAGAGGCTCTGTGGGGGTGGGGGGTAAGGGGGTGCAGGGGGGGAGGAGAGTGGATAAATAGGGATGGACAAAAGACATGCATACTGGCTCATGGAATCATGAGTCCTGGTGTCCTTAGTCCCCATCACCACTGCCCCCCACCTTTTTCAAAATACAGTGATGCCTCTAAGGTCAATGAAATCTTTCATATAAAGGTACTCACTCCTATCATTATCAATGCAGATAACTAAACTTTTGTCTTTCTCATATTGATGGATTTTCCCCATTTCCCTCTGTTAACTATCATATATCAATCCTATTTTTTTGCATGTTTATTGCATTTCTCCCTCTTTCTAACCTATTACTTCAAATCTGGCATTTCCCAAACCATAAACCCATGAGAAGGGCTGCAATGTCTTGATATTTTGACAGTTCCTTGCTATCTTCTAACATAAAAAAGAAAGAAAAAGGGAGTTTGTTTTCAGTTAAGTTTGAGAAACTTGTTTGATATATACCATTTTTAGAGTTAGAAAAAAACACAATAATAAAGGTTTTGGAAAGAGTGAAAAGAATGTAAATTACCCAGCAATTTGAATATTTTTATTTATTTATTCACCTCTTAAAGATGTATTTTTATTTAAGCATGCAAGAGGTGCTGAGGGTTGGAGAATTCACCACAGACTGTGGTGGAGAGCAGAATGAGCAGACCTACTGAAAAACATTACTGAGAGCAGTATCCTCCCTGGCTGGGGATAGAACTTGTGCCGCAGTTGCTGGTGATAGCTTGATAGCAGCTGAGACTTTAATCCGTGTGCTACCTGGGAGACCCCTGTATAATTTTTTTAAAGTAGCAAACATCCTTGCATCTGAGGTCAATATCAGCTCCATTGCATGGCTGAGAAATAAAAAAGTTCAATTAGAAAGGATTATAAAGTGGACATTGGTTATAACAAATCTGAATGCAGTTTCTTAGATTTTCATGAATTTTTTTAAATCTGTTTGAATTTGGTAGTAGCTCTCTTTTCCTTCTTTTCTGATTCATTTTTCTAGAATCTTCCAAAAGACTTTACTTTCTTAGAGATAAGTCTCTAAGACTTATCAAAAAACAACTGTTTGTTCTCATACTCCTATTTCATCACTGTACCTACTGTCGAATTTTATGTATAGTTTCACGATCAACTGGTTTATTCTGGATTAGAAGCAGACCTGACTGGTGGCAAGTTGTGCACAGCTGTGGAAACAGAAGGGCTGGGGCCTCTGGACAGTGGTGTGCAAACAGATGGTATCCGCTGTGGCTATTTTGCTTCCAGTTAGTCTGATTTGCAGACTAACTTTGGTTAATTTATCAACGTGATTAAGTGAAGCTTATCAAAAGAATTTCGACTATGCTGTTTAATTCTGGATTTTCATTAGATGCTATGCAATAGGAATTGTAAGTTTATCTCTAGGGTAATGGTTGAGCAAATAAAATTTCTTAGTTATAGCTTCTTTGAAAATCATTTTTAGAAAAACCAATCCTTTAAAACTGCTTAGAAATTTTTTACGTTAGCAGGGCCCTCCCTGGTGGCACAAGGGGTTAAGTTTCAGCACTGTGAAGCCATTCCCTGCCTGTTCTGCTGCCCACTGTGTGCCTGTGAGTCCTTTCACCCCCACACCTCTTGCCTGTACCCCAGTTTTTGTATGCATAAGTAAATAAACCTTAAAAAAAAAGAATTTTTACTTCAGCAACATCATAGAAAATTTGAACTGATGGATCTGAACAGCGATCCTTGGGTTGCCCTTGAGACATTCTGATTCCTCATGAAGAATTTGTGGCTTTTGGAGGTTTAAAACAGACGTCAGTTCTGTGTTTCCAGCCCCTTCTACGGGAATAAAGAGCAACAGGGGACAACTACTGACCCACACAGATGATGCTTGGGTAGAATATTCTTTGGGACTGAAGCCATTTTAAGGCAATGATAGTAAATGCAATGCTTGAAAGCCATTGGAGTCTGCTTTTTTTTTTTTTTTGTGCTATTAGAGAGGTTGATTAGAATGAAAAAAATAATAGTTGAGTAGTACTCTGTTGGGTATGCATACCACCAATTATTTTATCCAATTATTCATTTAGCTTGTTGATGGAAAAAGGTTTCTTTCTCTTTCACTCTCACACAACTCACACAATTTATTTTCTTAGTTTTAGGGCACAGATATGGAGAAATCATCCACCCTCTTGCAGCCCAGGTGATGCAAGGTGCCCAGGTGGCAAGGAGCCACTTCAGGCTCCTTTCTCGTTTGGCTTACTTTTTGTTCTAGAGATGTCTCTTGACCATCAACAGGAAAAACTAAGGAGAGTCTTGAAGGGAAAAAGGAGAAGAGACACACCAGCTCAACAGTCAGTGGTGGAAGATCTGTCTGGGAATCTCCAGTCATTAAAGGCCAAGGTCTGCTTTTGTTTTGTCAGGAAAATTCCATGACGTGTCAGAGAGTACTCATTGGACACCATTTCTGAATGCAAGCATTCATTACATCCGAGAGAACTATCCCCTGCCCTGGAAGGAGGTAGGCATGGCCCTCTAACCAGAAGACAAATTCGGTTCTAGTCCTATTTTGGCACTTGCATTTACCCTGTCTGCCCTCCCGCCCCCACCCCAGACCCTGGAGGGCCGTTCATCATTGTTCCTTCCGTGCCAGCCACAGCACTTGGAACATCATAGATGACTAGTTCATACATGAATAAATTCTTTTTTTTATGTGTGAGGTAAGTCACTTAGTCATTTTGCTCCTGGAGACATTCATCTGAAGGCAATTCCTAGGCACTACAAAATATTTCAAAAAGTCCAGTGTACCTACCTCTGATTTTTTGGGTTCAATCTCAGTAATGGAAAAGGATTCATGTTTATTGTTGTTGTAAAGGAACCGAAACACACATGACTCTAGTTTGCTTATTTGGCAGGACACAGAGAAACTGGTAGCTTTCTTGTTTGGCATCACCTCTCACATGGTGGCAGATATCAGCTGGCATAGCCTGGGGATTCAGCAAGGATTCCTTAGGACCATGGGAGCGGTGAGTACACACCTTTCCTGGGAATGACTTCAGGGGGTGGTATGTCACACTCAATGTCAAAAGGCCCCTGGGAAGGAAAGACAAACTTGAGGTTACTCAGGTGTCATCTGGAAACAAGACTTCTCATCGTGCAAACACGTGTTTGTTAGATTTCCATCTTTCTCTGTTCGTCACTCTTCTTGCTACTGGGTAACTTCAGCCACATGGGGAGAATGAGTAACATGCTCTGTTTTAATATAAGCAATATTTGAGAGTCCTAATCAGGATAGGTGTGCCAATAAAAATGCCACAATCCCAAAGAGAAAATTGAAATCTTACCTAATAATTTGTTTCTGGAAATTTCCTCTTGTCATGCATTAATATTTTTTTATTAATTTATTTTTCCATCATTTTGCGCATTTTTCCATCTCAGTTGTAATCCCTGTGGACTAACCACCACCAATTCCCGTGTGCCATCACCATAGTCCCGTGCACCTTTTCTACCCCATTTTTAAAGTCATCCCTCACTCACACCCCTGTGAAATATCTCTGGTATATAGTTGTTTTATTTATTTATTTTTTTATACAATTGCTTCCCCCCACCCTCCCTGGTCCTTTATGTTCCTGCTATCAGTGAAACCATCTGGTATTTTTCTTTTTCTCTCTGGCTTATTTAACTGAGCATGATCACTTCCAGCTCAATCTATGTTGCTGCAAAAGGCATGAGTTTATCTCTTTTTGCTTGCTGAGTAATATTCCATTGTGTATATGTACACATCTTTTTAATCCAGTCATCTATTTTTGGGCACTTGGGTTGATTCCATGTCTTGCCTATTGTAAATAGAGTAGCAATAAACATGGGTGCAGGTGTCTTTTTGAATCAATGTTTTTGTGTCCCTTGGAGTGGGATTGCTGGGTCATACATATGGAAGCTTGTTAATATTAATACTTTTCTATGAGAAGCTTAAACTTGGATTCAGTGGACATTTGATGCAAGAGCTTTGTATCCAGACATACATATAATTCAGGTGCCAATGTAACTTTCTTAACAAAAGAATAATGAAATGTAATGATCCCCTGGAAGTTGAATCTGCCTATTTGAACCTTTTCAGTAACTGGTTTGGGCAATTATCTCCTTGCTTGCTTATGGAGTAAGAGTTTGGGCTTCTATTTGTGATTTCTTTCTTCCTTTCTTTTAAAGATTTAGTTATTTATGCATACAGAACTGGAGTACAGGCCATAGGTGCAGGGGCAATGAGAGGATTCACCAGAGACAGTGGGGAGCAGAACAGGCTGACTGACGAAGTACACTGCTGAGGGGAGCAGTGGGCGGATCAGGAGAGGTCTGCTGTGCCATGTGGGTCCCTCCCTGGCTTGAGATCGAATTCATGCTGAAGCCACTAGGGAGAACTCACTGTTTGTGATTTCTATCAGATGCTTCTCTTTCTTTTCCAGATTGATTTTCATGGCTCCTATTCTGACGCACATTCTGCTGGCGATTTTGGTACTGTTTATTTTCATTTCCCAAATTTCCCTTTGTGGTAGTTATATTTCGTTTGTTGTGGAGACATTGCTATAATATAAAATGTGTTTTATCTTATCTTGCTAGTAGTATATAATATATATGCTATTAGTATGTTAGCAGATAATATATTTTAAAATGTACATACTATTAACATATACTAATATGATTTCTATATTAATATGAAAGTTCATTTACAGAAGACAGAAATACTACATTTCAAAACAGAGGTGAATTTTTGAAAAGTTGTGTACATGTATATCCTTTGATAACATTTTTATCATTGGCTTATGTCAGAATTTTAGAAAAATTTTATTTTTATATCTGATTAGAATCCATTACCTAAGGTCTACTAATACTTTACCCTTAGATTGGAGGCACATTAGTTTTTTTTTGTTGTTGTTGTAAATTATCTTTAAAGACAAAATCTAGATGGTGAATGGTGTTTACTTATAAGTATCTTAATGGCTCATTTAAGCTTCAAACTTTTTGTTGATATGGGTGATTCTTTGTTATTTCACGTTTCACTAGCTAAGATGTTAAAGGTGTAAAAATTGATTTAGAGGTTACTTTTTCTTAAAACATTGAGGTAACATAGAGGTTACTTTTTCTCTAAAACATTGAACATGAAGTATATAATAATGTGAAGGACTAATGATCTGGATTATACACATTTCAGTTGAATGCTATGTGTTTTGATGCAGCCACCAATGTAGAAATACTTATCTCATCCCATAGGAGGAGACGTGTTGAGCCAGTCTGAATTTAATTTTAATTACCTGGCACGGCGCTGGTAAGAGCAATGTCTACTTAAAAATGTGATATCTCAAGCATTCAAAAGCATTCAAGAACATTATCTTTACTTTTACATACCTCTATGACCAAGGTTTTTTTTTTGATAGAGATTTAAATAACTTCTCTAATGGTTATTGGACTGGATAGGTTTTCAGTTTCTTCTTAAAGGGTTTTATATTTTTCTAGACCTTTTCTGTTTCATCAAAGTACTTAAAGATTTTGCTATAAAGTTATCTTTTTTCACTTGCTTACTATATAGTTCTGTTCCCTTTGTTACCCACAGTGTTATTTATCCTGCTTTCTGTTTTGAACCCATTTTATTGTTTATAAAAATGAAGTTTTGAATTTACTGATCCTCTACTTTACAATCACTTTCTCTTTCTGTGCTTTTTTACTCATATATTTATTTTCTCCTTACTTTCTTTGGGTTCCTGTGAAATTCACTGAGTCTTGATGAAAGTCTAGTGTGTGATCAACTTTTGTAACTATTCCATGTGTGCTTGGGAAGAATGGTAATTCTTCAACTTCGGGCTTAATGTTTTATTTATGTTTCTTAGCTCATTAAATTTGCTGTTTAATTAAAAAGATTTATAAGCTGTAAATAAGATAGTCCTATTTTTATTTATTTTATTAAAATACTCATTTACTTATGCATAAACTGGGGTACAGGCCAGAGGTGCAGGGGTGGTGAGAGGATTCACCAAAGACAAAGTGGGGAGCAGAACAGGCCGACTGACAAAGTACATTGCTGAGGGGAGCAGCGGGCGGGTCAGGAGAGGTCTGCTGTGCCATGAGGATCACTTCTGAGGCCAGGGATTGAACTCATTCTGAAGTGACTTTAACTTCTTAGTGGTGTGCTTTAACTTGTTGCACCACCAGGGAGGGCCGAGAGATCCAATCTTAACTATTTTTTTTAAATAAGCTTGATATAACAATTACTAGGAGAGATTTGTTTAAAAATGGCCATCTTTGATAATGGCTTTTTTTTTTTTTCCAATTCTTTTCATTCTGCCAAGTTACCACACTTACTTATACTTATGTGGTAATTTGGCAGAACAAGCTAGGTACATAGCCTGGTACATTTCGTTCTCAAAATCTTATCTTTTTAGTGAATTGAACCTCTTACCATGATGTAGTAAACCTATTTCTAACAGTGCTGGCTGCCTTCATGTTGACTTTATCAGGTCAAACTGTATTTACACTGTTGTGTTCCACACTGTTTGAATTACTCAAGATTTGAGTTAGGCTTGTAGTTCTCCAGAGCGTACCTTGGCTTCTGCAGGCTGCATTCAGACACTAATAACCTGGACCAACATTTCAAGTTACAATCAAGCTTTAAAACTTTTTTCTTTTAAAAAAAATATGATTTTTGGGGCCTTCCCTGGTGGTGCAACGGGTTAAAGAACAGCATTATGACACTAGACGTAGCGGCTTCACCAGTTTGATCCCCAGACACAGAGTGTCCCACATGGCGTGGCAGACCTCTCCTGACCTACCTGCTGCTCCCCTCAGCAGTGAATTTGGTTGATCTGCCTGTTCTGCTCCCCATTCTGTCTCTGGTGAATCCTTTCACTGCCCCAGCACCTCTGGCCTGTACCCCACTTCTGTATGCATAAGTAAATAAATCTTTTAAAAATTTTGATTTTTTTTGAGGTAACATTGGTTTACAGCATGATAGATGATTCAGAGATATAGTAATCCACCCCTTCAGAATATGCAACACAACACCCACCACCAGTGCAGCCACAGTTCTATCATCAGCTTTCAAGAGTTATTTTTCATTTTTTAAGATTTATTTATTTGTGCATACAGAACTGGGGTACAGGCCAGAGGTGCAGGGATGGTGAGAGGACTCACCAGAGACAGTGGGGGGCAGAACAGGCAGGTTGACACAGTGAACACTGAGGGGAGCAGCAGGTGGGACAGGAGAGGTCTGCTGCAACATGTGGATCACCTCTGGGGTGGGGATCGAACTTGTACTGAAGCTGCTGCAGCTAGCTTGCAGTGCCGTGTCCTAACCATTTCACCATCAGTGAGGGTTAGGGGCTGTTAATTCTGAGCGAAGGTACTTTCTTTCCTTCTACATCCATTGCCAAAATGAAGACAGACATGTTTCTTTGCTGTTTTTGCTTGTATGTTGGGTTTACATCTAGCTTGTACTTGTGCGGACGCAATTTTTAAAGTGGGGGCGGGGGAGTGGTCTTCTCTGGGATGATCCACTTTGGCTAGTTCCTATACTTTATCTCCTGCCCCCTGCAAATTGCACAGCCATCCAAAATACCTTGAGGGAGCTCCCTGCTGGGCTGGGGTTTAAGTGAAGTCTCAGCGCTAACACTGCTATGACCTGAGTTCAATCCCTGGCCAGGGAGGTGATCCACATGATGCAACAGACCTCTCCTGTCTCACCTGCTGCTCCCCTCAGCAGTGTATTTCAGTCGATCTGCTTGTTCTGCTCCCCAATCTGTCTCTGGTGAGTCCTCTCACCCCACCCCCATACCTCTTGCCTACACCCCAGTTCTACACAGAAACTGGGGGAAAAAATACCTTCATGTTTCCAATGTTTGTCAGAAGTCCTTAAGGCAAAATCTGCTTTCCTTATTCACTTCTAAACTTACCAGTTTCAATTTGTTTTTGGCCTTCGGAAAATTTTTATTTTGTTACTAGCTTGGTGATTCATCTAAAAAAATATTTTTGCCTAGACTTTTAGGCTGTTTTTATTGGGAGGATCATTCTGGGGCTCACTTCAAAAGGAAAAAGTGTACACTTCAATGGATTCTTTCTGGTAAGATAGTAAAATCAGATTTTATTGGTCCTTATTCCTGTCTGGCATATTCTAAGGATTTTGAAATGAAGGTAATACAGTATAAATCGGATGTTTAATATAAATCTAATGTTTCTTCCAACTGGAATAATATCTGTGAAACAAAAACCTGACTTGGAATTCTTGTTGCTTCCTTGCACTGTTTATCCTAAACTTAAGAGGTTGGGATGAAAGTCATGTTGGTCTTTTCAAACTAGTAACTCAAGAATAATTCAATTTAAAAGAATAAAAATACTTTTTATTGTTCTTTCAACTCTGAATTCACAAATTAAAGGTGACTTTTATAGATTATAGTTAATTTCCTATCTTTGCATGTACTTTCATCAATAACTTGCATTATTTGAAGGTACCAGTCATTTTCCCTGCATTATTGGACAAATTATTTAACTTTTCTTTATTATTTTTTATTGTTATATTTTTTATTTTTTACATCATTCTTCATTTTGTGCATCGTTTCATCTCATTTGTAATCCCCACGGGCTTCCCACCACCGATTCACCCATGCACCATCACTATAGTCCAGTGTACTCTTCCCACCCCAGTTCTGACCCCATTCCCCTTTCCACCTCCAGAAAATGTTTATAGTTATTCATTGTTTTCATTTTCACTCTATTACATTTATTTCTCTCTCTCTCTCTTTTCCCTCCCCTGATCCCTTATGCTCCTGCTATGAGTAAAACCATTCGGTATTTTTTTTCCCCTGGCTTATTTCACTAAGCATGATCCCTTCCAGCTCCATCCATGTGGCTGCAAAAGGCATGAGTTTATCTTTTTGATTGCTGAGTAATATTCCTTTGTGTATATGTACTACATCTTTTTAATCCAGTCATCTATTTTTGGGCATTTGGGATTGATTCCATGTCTTCCCTACTGTAAATAGAGCAGCAATACACACGGGTACAGGTGTCCTTTTGAATCAGTGTTTTTCTATCCTTTGGGTAGATAACTAGGAGTGGGATTGCTGGGTCATAGGGAAGATCTATTTTTAGCCTTTTGAGAAACCTCCAAACAGCTTTCATAGTGGTTGTATCAGCTTGCATTCCCACCAACAGTGTAGAAGAGTTTCTTTTTCTCCACATCTGTTGTTGCTAGTTGTTTTAATGTGTGCTATTCTCACTGGGGTGAGATGGTATCTCATTGTGGTTTTGATTTGCATCTCCCTTATTATAAGTGATGCTGAACATTTTTTCATATGCCTGCTGGCCATCTGCATTTCTTCTTTGGAGAAGTGTCTTTGTAGCTCTTCTTCCCATTTTTTCATGGGTATTTAACTTTTCTATGCTTTATTTTTCCTTTTTGTAAAATATGGTAACACTGACTAGTTAATTGGTACAACTAAGTGAATGGTGGCTATAAAGCTCATTGCATGGTGTTGGCACATACTTGTGCTGTTACTCTACTTCATAGTCAGAGCAATGCTTATTTAGTCTACTGCTTTTCTCAGGTATGTGCCTGTCAAAGATCTCCTGGAAATTTATAAGAGACTCTATGGAAGAGAAGTCATCAGTAAACATGTGATTACTGACTGTTCCTACCTTCAGTTCTTAGAAATGTAGGTATAACCCAGAGGAAAATTTGCAGATGAGGCTGTGATGTCCTTGGCATGCTTCTTAATGGTTTTGTTCCCTATGGGTACATTTTGGATGCATGGCTTTTGCTTGTGCCGATATGATTGCATAACGGTGGGTTGATGTTGGTGGGGGTTTTTCCTGCATTATTTGGTTCACTTCACTGAAAAAAACAAACATTTACAGGTAAAATATTATTGTTTGTGTTGCAGGCATGGTGAGATGTTAGCCATTTCCAAGGTAAAAGCTTCATTCTTCAAACTCTTAACTTAAGGGATGATAAAGAAACCAGGAAAACCAAATTATGTATTTATTTAACTGCTTTTCTTTCTGCCATAGCTTTATCCCACTTTTTCTAGAAAGTCCCCATTTTTGGTGGAACAATTCCAAGAATATTTCCTTGGAGGACTAGATGACATGGCATTTTGGTCTACTAAAATTTATCATCTGACAAGCTTCATGTTAGAGAATGGGACCAGGTGAATTATTACTCTTTCTTTTACCCATAACTTTTTGTTTTGCTTCTCCCTTTCCCAAGGTAAATCTCAGTTGTCTTATGTTTATGTTTATTTATTTTTGTGTATGCAGAAGAATTGGGGTCTAGGCCAGAAGTGTGGGGGTGAGAGGGTTCACCAGAGACAGAGTGGGGAGCAGAATAGGTGGATTGACTGAAATGTACTGCTGAGGGGAGCAGCTGGTAGAAAGGAGAGGCCTGCTGTGCCATATGTAGGTCACTGAGACTTAAGCCTTCAGCCACCAGGAAGGCCCTCTCAGTTTTCTTGAAAGTGACTAAATGGAGGAGGGAAAAAAGGTCTCATGAAATCCTGTCTCACTTAATGAAGGAGGAAAAGAATAGAATAAAAACTCAATCATTTCAAAGCCCCAGCGAGCCCCCATCCATTTGCTGCTGTTGCTCATGTTGTAGGGGTTGATAAATATTGCATATTGCGGTCTGTGAGAAAGAGCTCAGGTCAGGAAGAACTGGCTTCTGCCACTGAGCTGCATCTGTTTCTTTTGGAAGAACCCATAATGTGGGCCAAGTATCAGTTCTCCAGAGACTCCAGCATTGGGTGCGGAAAGCCTCCTTTCTCTCCACTCTACTAACTGCTCTCAGGTCAAGGGTTTCAAAGAGTACTTTGCCTAGCCCTCTACACGCTAAAATGAAACCAGAAATGACTGTGTTTGTAACATACAGCCTTCGGTTGCAATTGGACATGTAGCTCAGATGTGACAGCTGGACAACTTCTGGTAACTTTTCTGTTCCTCCCTAGCAAACCCAGGACCAGTGTTCATCAGAGATTCAGGGGGCATGTAGACAAGGGTGGACTGGGATTGTTCCCCCATCCGGCTCTCAGAGAATCTATCCAGGGTCCAAGAAAGCCAGTGTTCCTTTCAGAAGCTGTGTCCGTCTCTATCCCTCCGTGTGCAGCTGTTCCCAGGTTATTGAGCTGCTTGAGGAAGGGATGTGGTCTGGGCAGGGGATGGTGGAGGCCTCACTGATGGGAACGGGCTGGGTGGGGAGCTTACGCAGTAACCACAGTAGGAGAGAGGGTTCCATGACAGGAGCTAACCCCGAGTGATGGTTCCTTGTAACATCAGAGGAGGACTGGGTTTGGCAGCTCTGTGGCCTATGTAGGCGTGGCTCTGGTGTATTATACGTTGGATGCTGTTGCTTTATTCTTAAAAACATTTGCTAGTACTCAGGGCATATTAAGTATAATTATATATTGTGTTAATTTAAATCAAATTCCCTTGATGATAAATTCAACCTTGGCCTTGTAAATAATTAAACTTGTTTTTAAGGCGTAGTGAGTAACAATTTGGCCAACAAATAATCCAATGTGAATGTCATTTTTTTTTTTTAAAAACGGTGACATGATTTCCAGTGAAATCCCCAAGCTCTCCTATGGCTGTGGGTTTTAGGTGTATAAGAGTTAATGAGAAGAAGGTGGTCTTTGGAATCTGAGAGACCTGCCATTTATTGCTGAGTTATCCCAGCTAAGTCACTAAACCTTCATAAACCTTAATTTCCTCATCTGTATAATGGAAACAGTAGTAATTCTCTTCTTATCATAAAGTTGTTGTGAGCAGCAAATGAGATCACTCATAGTTCAGCTTGGAGTCAGCTCTCCATAACTGTTGGCTACTAGTATTATATTTATTGTTAGAAGGAAGTTAAGCATTTAGAGGGTTTGTAATGTATGGCCTTGTTAGAGTGAGTGACCTTCCTTTGTTTTAAAAAGTCCATGTATGATAATCCCCGAACTGGAAAATAGTTTAAGTGTTTGCTTTTGGTTAGGCTGTCCATTAGCTATGGAAAGATGTATAGCTCAACTTTATCCTTTAATTAGGAAGAACTCATTGAGAAGGAAAAGGTTTCTTGTTTTTTGACCTGTCCTAATTTATAAAGGCGGGACATTCTATGAATTAATTGCATCTTTCTGCACACTGACAAAGACTCATCATAATTTATGGGAAACCTGGAGAAGGCTCCAAAGAAAGACAACACTATTTCATGACAGTAAGGAAAACAGGAACATTTTATGTATTGTACATATTACACAGGTATTATAGATGTTGCTCAACTTTCTAATAGTAGGTTATCATCCAAGGCAAATTGATATTAACTTGAAACTCATACTGTATTTTCCTAAAGAAACAGAAATAAATGATTGCTACATTCCCAGTCAGAACTCTGTTAAACCCAAACAGTATTTAGAGCTGTAGTGCTGATATTGTGAGGCTAGTGTCTGAAGCCTGGTGGTGGAGAAAAGAGAATATAGAGAAAAATCTTTCCTCTGTCAGAAACTTGCTGGCCTGAAGAAAGACTTTGATGGGGAGCCTGCCTTCTGCTCCTTCCACTTTTCCTTATCCAGCAACTAGTTCTCCAGACCCCAAACTACCCTGAGCCTCCCTCACGGTCCTCCATGCCCACACTTCTCTCCTTCAAGAGTCTTTACTCTAGAGCAGACTCTTCCAACGTAACCACTCCCTGATGGCTTCTGTTCAGAGTCAGGAAACACATTCACTTCTTCAGCTATATAAGCTGCCTCTTCACTTGTTAAAGAGGTTACTTAGTTATCCTTCCAACTACATAGGCTAAAGTTTTGTTTTTAAAGGAATGAGATTAAAAAATTAAGACCCATTTGGGCATTCATGGGCATAACCAGGCAAAGGGTGACATGATTGGGAATTGGTTTCTTTCACAGGGTTTGACTCTGAGAAGTTTCTTGTGCACATGGTTAACTCAGCATGGGGACCTGGGAGGGATGAGGAAGGCTGAGGGTCTGGAGTGACTGGCACTGTGGGGCTGCCTGCATCACCGTATACGCTGCAGTCACTTATCTACTGTTGTTGGGAAGGACTCTGGCCCTTTAGCTGTCCTGTCAGGCTAATTCTCTGCACTGAGAATTTTGGAGGTAGTTTGAAGTGTGCCGTGGATTCTCAGTAACCTTCCGATCTGAAAAGAAGGTTGAAATATCCCTAATTCATTTGACTATTTCCCCAGTGACTGCAGCCTACCTGAGAACCCTCTGTTCATCGCCTGTGGTGGCCAGAGGAACAACACCAGTGGGTAAGTAGATTCCAGAACTGTCCATAGAAAAAGAATATGTCACTCAGAAGGGTGTTCTGCAGATCTTAATTGCTTGGGTTTCATTGACAGACTGGGTCAAATTCCATTTCTGCTATTGACAGCTATATGCCTTTTTAAAGAATTAATTTATTGTCTTATGTTCATTTTTGCACAGTATTTGGTTTCTTCCCTCAGGTGTAGTCCCTGTAGTTCTCCCACCTCGGTAGCATCTGTGATCCATCCCATTCCCTTGTGCTCTTCCCTCCCCTGTTTTGACTCCCCCTCTCTCCTGTATCCTACAACTGTTTAATTTAAACAAGACTTCTTATTGTTTTTGAGCTGCTGTTCCATTGGCAAAATATCAACAACACATATGCATCCTTCCTAAATTATGGTATGGCTTGGGTATAAACAATAGGTGTAAAACAATTACAGTATCAGGAAGTTCCAGAATAACAAATGATAGGCAACAGTGTTACTTTCTTTATTGTAGTTACTGCCCAGGAATGGTACCCAAATTTTACCCTGAAAATGTTCTTATAATGAGACTGGGTGAGAGAGGACCTCTTTGATAATTTCAGAAGGCCTCCCTGGTACTAAGAGGTGGTATTTCCTGTTGGAGTCTGGTACCAAACGTAATTACAGTAGCAATATTGTACATATTTGTTGTTACTCAAATAATGCAAATAATATCTCCTCATTCAGTACCAGGTATTAGTTTAGGTTTTAGCGACCAAGTTGTGAATGACAAGCAGTTCTTATTCTGGTTCAGTGTACTCCACAGTCAATTCTCTGTAATTGAAAGGCAGGTGGACTCAAAACACTGTTAAGTGCTAAGGAGGGAACATGCTGGGTATTCTGGGAATGGACAAGCCAATTAGTGGAGAGCTTGGTGTGAAGAAGTGATGTTTCAATGGAGATATTTGGGCCTGAACTTGAGTTGTATATGCAAAAGACGGCTTGCAATGGAATGCTCTAAAGCAAAGAGGGTTCACAATTAAGCCTTCACTGGTATGCTAAGGGGCCCCCTTATTCATTTCTGTGGTTTGGGTCCCATATCTATTAGTGAAAGAGGCTGCTAACAATGTATGACCTTGAAGGTTGTAGAGGCTGCTAACAATGTATGACCTTGAAAATGTATTTTGAGTGTGTAACTAATTCTAACACATCTGTAAAGATAAACCAATACACCTGCTCACCAGTTTCTTAACCAACTATAGCCCTAATTCTTGACCATTTCTGTGAAATTTTGAAATATCTTTAATTTGGGGAGGGTTTAACAGAGAGAGAAGAAATACATTGTACTATGGTGGCAGAATATGGATGATTTGGTGATGGGTACCCCATGGTGGTGATACTTGATGGACGTATCCTAATTTTACCTTAATTAAGAACAAATAATTGAACAAAACAAATACCTTATATATTTTTTTCATTTGAAGTAATATAAACCACCTACTCTATAGAATTTTGAGACTATAGAAAATATTTTTATATCAGGACAACTTGGAAATGCATTTACTAAAGGATTTTGTGTACTCTCTTGGAAAGTTTTTCTAAAAGTTTTTTTTTTCTGTTCTGTTCCTTCAGCTTTCAGAAGTGAACATTTTAATGGTTGTTTAACCTGTGATTAACTTTTTCCAGTTCTGTTATTCAGGGTATTTGCTGTTTTCTCAGTCCCAACCATTTCACTCCTCTCTCTCTCCAGCAGCTCCAAAGTACAGACACATTATTTTGATAGAAATTTGACTACATCTCTCACTAAAGATGTTGGAAGAAATATAAAACATACCGAGAGAGGAGTGTTCTTTAGCATGGATCCTTGGACGTCGGTAAGAAGTTCTACTTTTCAAAGGAGAAAGAAGACAGGTTACTTGTGATCTCTTGTTGCATGGATTCCTGGCCAATTCACCATTCATTGAGAGTCACCTGGGCATTTGACAAGCCGGTAGATCTCTTTGGCCTCCAAATCTGGTTTGCTTTAGAGGAGTCCTGAAATATTTAGCAAGTCCGGCAGAGTTCAAGGTGACTCTGGGCACCCAGCCAGAGCTGCCTTGTCCTCGTTGCAAAGTTTATGAGCAAGATGATGGATTCACTGTGTAGCTCCATGCCAAGGGACATAATTGTATATGAAATTCATTTTTTGGGGGGACATAGAAGAACTGGGGTGTAGACCAGAGGTGTAGGTGTGAGAGGATTCACCAGAGACAGAGTGGGGAACAGAGCATCCAGATTTACTGATATACACTGCTGTGGATGAGGTAGGAGAGATCTTTTTTTCCATATGTGGGTCAGCCACCTGGCTGGGGATTGAACTCTGGCCACAGCAGTGAGAAGGCAGAGACTTAACCCCTAAGCCACCAGGGAGCCCCCTAAAACTCATTATTTTTTTTTAAAGATTCAATTATTTATGCATACAGAACTGGGGTACAGGCCAGAGGTGCAGGGGCGGTGAGAGGATTCACCAGAGACAAAGTAGGAATAGGCAGATCGAGGAAGTACACTTCTGAGGGGAACAGCGGGAGGGTCAGGAGAGGTCTGCCATGCCATGTGGTTCACCTCCAGGGCAGGGATAGGGGGGATAGAACTCATGCTGAAGTGGCTTTAGCTTCTCAGTGCTGTGCTTTAACCCGCTGCGCCACCAGGGAGGGCTGAAACTCATTCTTGATGTCATTTAATGATCAGTCATCCTGGGGCTTGGGAGGATGAAAAAAAATAGACTCAGACTTTTAGAAAATTTCATTTTGTTAGGAGGATTAAAAATAATCATTTATGGGGCCCTCCCTGGTGGTGCAGCGGGTTAAAGCACAGCACTGAGAGGCTTGGGCCACTTCCGCATGAGTTCGATTCCCGCCTGCCCCGTTGGAGATCCACATGGCGTGACAGACCTCCTGACCCGCCCGCTGCTCCCCTCAGCAGTGTACTTCATTGATCTGCCTGTTCTGCTCCCCACTCTGTCTCTGGTAAATCCTCTCACCCTCCGGATCTCTGGCCTGTACCCCAGTTCTATATGAATAAATAAATACATCTTTAAAAAAAATAACCATTTATGAGTAGAATGCAACAAATTACATGTTGGGGTATGGGGAGAAATAGTTTACCAGAAGGGGCTGTAATTGTGATCTTGGAGACTAACAGAGACATCTTCATAGAGGTGGTGGCATTTGAGTTAGTAAGTTGAATAGTAGATAGTATCATCCATGAGTACTTCTGCTTGTGAATTGGAAAGTCTCAGGATACTCAGAAATATGGGCAGACTTACTTGCCTGGAGCAGAAGACAAGCAGTAGAAGGCACTGAAGAGAGCTGGAGCATAGGAGTGGGGATTCTTAAAGTCAGGACGAAGATATAAAGTCTTGGGGAATAGTGTGTCTGGGGCCTGGGCCATGGCAGGTGGAAGGCCTGCTTCAGTGTGCACCCAAAACAGCCACAAGGAAGGGCCCCTTTTGAGCACTAGACTCTATATTTTCATTTTTCACTGAGCTCACAAATTATGTTGTCAGCCCTGGACTTGGGAACTTCTATCAAATCACAGCATTTTCCTTGCAATTACTTGGATGGAATTTGCAAAAGAATAAGCTGTGTCAGAGAAGTAGTGTTTGCTTCGTGGCCTGTGGTGGTGGCTAGCACACAGTCAATACTTTCTGGAAACGAACGAGCAAGGACCAGGATGAGCATAAGCCATCAGTGTGTAGCCTGCCCGAGGCCATGTTGATCCCCTTCTTTGTGACCCTCGGAACCTGTGCCTCTTCTCGGGAGTCTGAGCTGGCCAGGGCTGCCCTGTGATTCTGAGCACATCCTGCTGTGTTCTGGACCGTGCCTGGGAATTCTTGTCTGGTCTCATGTCACGTTGGGGGGATTTAGATTCATGTGCCCTCAATGTGGATGGATCTGGTGTCATGCCAGCTTGTTCTTGGCAGCTCCAGCCTGCAGTACCACCTTGAGCCATGTTGAGTGGCTAGTTCTCTTTCATATGGCTCCCGGCACAGTGCATCAGATGTCTTGGGTCTCAAAGCAAATGCAGCAACATCTCAATTTGGGCTGGAGGGTATTTGGGCCTCCTGGCCAAAGGTCATAGCTATGCAGATGTTGATTCATAATGGTGCACACCTGAAGCTCACATGTGCAACATTCACTAAAACTATTTTAAAATTATGTATATCATTATATATTTATATAATTATAATTATAGTTCTAGATTGAATGGACTTACCTTTCTAGATACTTTCACCCATAAAATTTGTTCATTCTGTTCTGCAAGTGATGGTGAGCCATGCTGACTGTTTGGTTCTAGTTAAGTCTCAGCAGACTCTGGTGTTTTGCTTTGCCCGCCAGAGTTGTAACTTCCATCCCTTTTCATACATCCCTATTCTAAGGGATCATCTTTGATGATAAGAATTTGTAGGATTTGTAAAAACTCATTTCCTTGGTGAAATGGTTTTGACAGGAATTGGTAGCTTTGTTAATGATGCATCTGTCTTTACCTGCCTGCACGGTTTTTCTATTTCAGGATTCCCTATCATATATGTACCAGACTGTGCAAAGGAATCTGCGGCTGATGTTTACAGAGGGCTCTAGGCAGTCTCTGAAGCACATTTCCAGCCCCTCAGCATCTTATTTTGTGTCAATTCCCTATGCGAGACTTGGTTGGTAGGTGTACGTTCACTTCATTCTTGAATGATTTCATCAGTTTAATTTCATTCAGTTCATACAACAAATCTTTAAAATGGTGCCTACTAGCACCTTACTTTTTAATCAGTTCATCAACAACAAAACATTTATAGAGCAACATAAATTAATAACATTAATTTATATAACAACATATAAATTAATAGCAGCATTTAGTTATTGTCAAGCTAAAACTATCTCCTTAAAATTGGTCAAAAAATATTTAAACATGAGGGACTTCCTTACTAAATAATAGAGCAATAAAGTATTATTTTATAGGATCTTTGTAAAGGTTCCATGGAGATAGATGATGACAGGTTGTTTTCTGGAATTTGATGATTTAGAGGGATAATAGGAGAAAATAATTATGGTGACTAGAATATTGTAACTTCATATGGTAAAAGCCTGCGATACCCAATAATTTTGTAAGACAAATATTTGGGGTTCCTCTGGCTAAAAAAGAAAAATTGACCAAAATCGAGCCTAAGGATATATAAAAGTGTTTTTTTATTCTTGCAAGTGATGGTGAGACATTTCATTTTACCTTTTGTGGAGACCTTATGAAGTATGCCTGAGATGTAAAAAGTTTGTAAATAGTGCATACAACTTTATGAGCTTAAAAATTAGTGTATACCTGTGAAATCATGATCACCACCAAGACCATGGATGTATCCATCATTTCCCAAAGTTTCCTCCCACCCTCTTTTCAAAAATTAATAATAATGTAAGTAATTTTTTATAAAAATTTTAATATACTACACAGAGATATTAGCCATCGGCACTATACTGTCCAGCAGACTTCTAGTACTTATCTTTGTACTCTTTGACTAATATTTCCCTTTTTCTTCTATCCTCCCCCCTCATTACCATCATTGTCTATTTCTATGCGTTGGACTATTTTAGATCCCATGTGTAAATGAGACCATTCAGGATTTGTCTTTCCATATCTGGCTGATTTCACTTGCATAATGTCCTCTAGCTCCATTCAGGCTTTTAAAAAAATTTTTTAAGGCTGACTAATATTCCACTGCAGATAAAGACCACATTTTCTTTTTCCACTCATTTAGTGGACATTTAGGTTGTTCTGAAGCATTCTGGTGAATGCTTCAGTGAACATAAAAGTACAAATGTCTTTGTAAGAGCTTGATTTCAGTTTCTTTGCATAAGTTACACAAGTGGGATTGGTGAATCACAAGGTAGCTCCATTGTTAATTTTTAAAGAACCACCATTCTGTTTTCCAAAGTGATTAAACTAATTTACACTCCTACCATCAGTATATCAGTCTCCCTTTCCCCCAGTATCTTTGTCAGTATTTGTTATCTTTTTTTATATAACAACAAGCATGAGATAATATCTCATTGTTGTTTTGATTTGCATTTCCCTGATGATTAATGATATTGAATACCTTTCCAGCTACTTATTAGTAGATGAAAAGACATGTACCAATTTGTTTTCTTTGAGAACTACTTAGCCCCTTTGACCAGTTTTGTTTTTTTTTTCTGTTGAGTTTATGATTTCCTTATATTTTTGTAATACTAGCATTCATCAGAATAGATAACACATGGGAACAACCTAAATGTCCACTAAACTAAACAAACTAGAGTTTGCAGATGTTTTCTTCCATTCTGTAGGTTCCCTTTGTCTTGGCAATCATAAACAATGTTGCAATGAACATGGAGGTGCATCTCTTTTCAAGTTAGTGTTTTCATTTCTTTGGAAATATCCAAACTGGAATTGCTGGATTATCTGGTAGTTTTATTTTTTCTTTCTTTCTTCCTTTTTAAGATTTAGTTATTTATGCATGTAGAATTGGGGTACAGACCAGAGGTGCAGGGGCAGTGAGAGAATTCACCAGAGACAGAGTGGGGAGCAGAACAGGCATATCTACAAAGTACACGGCTGAGGGGAGCAGCAGATGGGTCAGGAGAGATCTGCTGCGCCATGTGGGTCACCTCCGGGGCTGGGGATGGAACTCGCACTGAAGCAGAGGCAGCTAGCTTGCAGTGTTGTGTCCTAACCTGCTGCGTCACCAGGGAGGGCCTGGTAGTTTTATTTCTAATTTCTTGAGACATTGCATTCTGTTTTCCATAGTGATTACACCAGCTTACATTCCTACCAACAGTGCATAAGAGTTCCTTTTTCTCTACATCCTAAGCATCACTTATTTCTTATAGCCATTCTCATACTTTGTGATTTCAGTTTACATTTTCCTGTTGATTAATGATTTTCTAAGCACATTTTCATGGAACTATTTGGCCAACAGTATGTTTTTGGCATGATCTCAGCTCCTCTCTTCATTTTGAATCAGATTGTGTTTTCTTTTTTCCTGAATTGAATGAGTTTTTATATACTTTGGATATTAGCTCCTTACCAGATAATGATTTGCAAGCATTTTCTCCTATGCCATAGATTGCCTTTTCATTTAGTGCATGGCTTCCTTTATTGGAAAGAAACGTTTTAGTCTATTTTTTGTGCTTGTGTCTTTGCTTTTGATGTTAAAAAAAAAAAAATCTGTGCTTCTGATGGATCATCTGTAGGTTGGAATTTCCATTGACCCCTGTGTTGGTACTTGGGGACAGCTAGATGGAAGAAAAGCATAGGGCAAGGCATGGGAAAGGACTCTGAGTATAGCTCTCCCCTGGAATCTCCATGTGTTCACCAACCTGGAAACTCTGAAATTGCCATCAGATGCTGGATGTTGGCAAAGATGAATGTCCTGGTTCCCAGGCCAGCCCAGGATTTTGCTGCTGCTCTGGGTTTTCATATGTAACAGGCTTAAGTCCAGTGCTCTGCATTTTTCTGGCCACTAATGCTTTTAGAGCCAGACAGGGATTAGGAGGTGAATACAGTTTTATTGACTATTCACTTGTGAATAATGGCTCTTCTTGGCAGCTTTCTAGAAAGATCCAAAAGAAGTCCTCTTTCTGACTTCACTGCCACTCTAGGGTCATGGCTAGCCAGTGTCCACCTCAAGAGATCAGAGGACAGCATTATCTCTGTGTTGTGTGTATCTGGACCCTTTTCCCTGGCATCGTACACTTTAGAAACTACTTTTTTCCTTTTCCTTCTGTTCTGTTGTTTGTTTTCTATGTGGCTGTAGGAGCTAGAATAAATAAGTGACTTTGGTTTCTCCACTCTTGACTGAGATATTTCAACCTTTGTGTCGTTTTGTCCATCTCTATAACTAGTGGGTCATGGAATCGTCTTTAGAGACATCTGTTAAATATGTCAAGTATTTAATTTTTTCCCCAATACAAGGCACCCTATATAGCTATGGTAGAAATAAAATGCTGTATTTAACTCGAGCTTACCTTTGTTGGTCAGGTTGCAAATTGAAACGAGTTGAGTAAATTAGGAATGGACGTGTGCCATCAGCTGCAGGGGGTTGGCAAAGGTGAATTTCCTGGTTCCTAGGCCAGCCCAGGATTGTGCTGCTGCTCTGGGTTTGCATACCATGCTTTTTCAGCTACTCAGATTATATGACCTAGAAAAGCCCAGAGGCCTTGACTTTTCCGTTGTTTTTGTTTTTGATTTTTTGGAGAGCAAGACTGAATTACACCAACAATATTAAGCTCATGTTTTCAACTGTTACACAAATGGAAGATTCACTGCAAAGGGAATCTGCAGGAGGCAGTTTCACTCAGAGTTCTCAGCAGATACTACGGTGGGTTTCCTCATCTCCCCCACAGGGCAATGGCCTCTGCTGATCTCAACCAGGATGGTTATGGTGACTTGGTGGTGGGTGCCCCAGGCTACAGCCACCCTGGCCACATCCAGGTTGGGCGTGTGTACCTCATCTATGGCAACGACCTGGGCCTGCCTCCTGTCGACTTGGACCTGGACAAGGAGGCCCATGGGATCCTGGAGGGCTTCCAGGTGAGACACTAACATCAGACTTACCCTTTTAGTGTCAACAAGCCACGGCCCACATTGCCTGGAAAATTCTCCAGGACAAATCACCATTAATAAGGATGATAGTAAGAAATGACACTCTTCTGTTTGCAAAACATGTTCACCTTGTTTCTCTCAGTCCCGCTATACTTCTGAGCTCCTAGCATTCAGGAGAGAGCCCCGAATCTGAAGCCACCAAGTCCCACCAACATACAATTTAGAACTGCTTTGATGAGCCCATTAGGAGGTAATTTCTTGATAATACCAAATCTCCCCTTTTTATATAAATGTTATGTTTTGTTAGACTTTCAGTCTCACAGAAAGAGTTCTCATTTGGTCTCCCGTGTTGGTATCTCCCATAATTATGGTAGACTTGCAGAATGAAAAGAGCAACATTGCTGCATCACTTTGCTTGGATGTCATTCCTTTAAGGGGTTATTTGTCACCAGAAAACTCCTCAGGGACTGCATAAATGTTCCTCATGCTCATGAAGCTTGAGTATTAATTCTTCATGCTGTGAGCAGTAGGGACAGGGACTGGGTGGCCTTCCTCCAGGGCATCATGGGCACTGGCCCTCTCAAGAGCCATAAACAGACAGGCAGCCTGCCTCTAGTCATGCGTGACTGGGGGACCCTTAATGGCACTGCATGCTCTGCATATCAAAGACCAAGGAAAGAAACACTGGTCCTTAGTCAGATGGTTCTTACCTAAACTTCTTGCTGATGCAGCCTTAATGCTGTGAAGATAAAATACAGTGGCATACCTGAGCCACCTTTGAAAAATGAAAACGACACTGGCTTATGATCTAGTTTAGGTTCTGGTGGAAGGAGGCCTGAATCTGAAAGGTGTGAATAAGTTGACTAGCCAGAGTATGAGTTCAGTCTTCACACACGGGCAGTGTTTTCTGAAACGGTGTGAGAAATTTCCAAAATAAATTTACTCCTTCCTGTTGCTTCCTGCTTCTTCTGGAAGCTAGTCCCATCAGTCTTGTGTAAATCACATTCCTTGAGTGCCTGTAGTCAGGAAATAAGAGAGGCAGCTGCACCCTGTGGATGATAAATGCTAAGATAGTTGAAGCAAGGATATGGAAGAGGTTCCATAATGAACTTAATAATTCGGAAGATGACCTGATTAAAGCGTGTGCTAGGGCTGGGAATCCCCTCCTCTATCCCTTGTCTGCATTTAAGCTTTCTGTGTCCTTGTCTATAAAGTGGAGGATTAGGATGCAAAACTCAAGCATTTGCCCATCTTGACATGCCGTGTTTTTCTTGGAATGAGTGGTGGATCAACAGGAGGGTTTCATGGTGTAGCTGGCAGTGATGAAATGAACCCATCAGCCTGGACAGAGGGCCTGTTGGTCCCCACCCTGCCCCAGTGTGCTTTGTTTCTGGATATCCTCTCTTGTTTATCAAGTTCTAGTCTTGTTGAAAGGGCAGTGTCCATAGATGCTATTGTTCTCAGTTCCACAGATATTAGGCAATAAATAATAGATGCAGGCCCTGTGACATGTGTGTCAGGTGGCAAATATCTCCTTGTGTAAGATTGTTCATATGTATGTATGTTGTGAAAGAATTGGAGGACCTAATGAGTTACTTTAGAGTCTAAGCTGTCCAGACAGTAGGAGACGAAAGATCTAGAAAATCCATCTTGGGAGAACATTGTCCCAGGAGTGAGTTTTCCCTCTATAAACTGTGAAGGGGGCAGTAACAACAGTACTTACATGTAAAGTGCTTTCAATGTTGTCTCCAGCATTATTGTCCCACAGAACTGTCTATAATGATGAAAATGTTCTATATCTGTGTCCCCCAGTGTGCAAACCACGAAGTGCATTGGCTTTTGAGCATTTGAGCTAATGCAACTAAAGAACTGAATATGTTTTGCTTCATGTTTATTATTTTTTTAAGATTTATTTTACTTATTTATGCATAGAAGAACTGGGGTATATGCCAGAGATGCAGAGGGTGAGGTGAGAGGATTCATGAGAGACAGAAAAGGAACAGAACAGGCAGATCTACTGAACACATTGCTGAGGGGAGCAGTGGGGAGCAGTGGGCGAGACATGGGAGGTCTGCTGCACCATGTGGGTGGGTCAGCTCCCTGGCAGGGATCAAACTCATGCTTCCTTGGCTGGATATAGTTTGATAGCACTGAAACTTAACCCCTTGCACCACCAAGGAGGCCATTTTTGTATTACTTTAAATGTCAATGCAATAGTTACATTTAGCTAGTGGCTACTGCTTCTGACAATGAAGCTCTTGAACAGCTGAGTCCTCAACTGCTGTTAGCTGCTGTTAACAGCTTGGCTGATTTTCTAAAAACCTAGAATTTACAAGAACTGAGTACCTTCTTCCTGGAACCTCATCTTCCCCTAAAACATAGAAGTGCCAAAAATATTCTGAGGGCCAAGCTACCTAGCTGGTACTTCCTGGGTATGTTACATGTTGCTACATTTGTGCCCCAGGTCTTCGGGTGCTGGGTGGGGTCCCAGGCCTCTCTCTACTTCCAGGGAATCAGGGCTTCTTTGAAAATTTTAATTTTCCTTAGCCCTGGAAAAATTAATTCATGTGTCTTTAGCCCTCAGGTCGATTTGGGTCCGCGTTGGCTGTGTTAGATTTTAACCAGGACGGCCTGCCTGACCTGGCAGTGGGAGCCCCGTCCGTGGGCTCGGAGAAGCTCACATATAAGGTAAGGCTGTTGATGGAGTTGGGGAGGTGTAGGCGGGGAGTGGGGGGTGGAGGTGAGGTGCTTCTGAGGGGAGGTCAGTGCTGAATAGAACCTCTGGAAAAATGCAGAGAGCCAGCAACCTGGCAGGGCTTTTGTGGGTAGATGATCCCAGGGATCCCCACTTGGGTCCTTGACATATACATAAATTCCTGGCAACTTATGTCCCTGCCTTCCTGGCTTTGATTTGGCCTTGTGGTTTCCAGTTCCATCAGTTGTTTTGCAGGAGGGCACTGATGAGTCTTATTTATTGTTGTATAGCCAGTCCTCAGCTCCGGATGAGAAATGAATGCTTGTATAATGGGAGGCATAGAGACAGGCAAGTGGTAAGATAGGAACTGGTTCGTAAACCAGAATGAAAGTACAGCATGTGTCCCAATGCAAATGAATGGTATTAGCAGGTGTTCCGAAGAATAATGGGCTGGGCTGGGGAAGGTTTCCTGGAAGAGCCAGAAACCCAGCTCAGCCTTGAAGGGGGGGGAGGAGCTGTACAAGTTATTCTGCGAATGCGGTGAACAATCATGGATGTCAGATGCTGGGCAAGACTTTGGAGGCATAGATAGAAGTAACAGTTTTTGCTTTGGGGGCTCTCATAGTCTGATAGAAATGATAAGCTTAAAAAAATTTTTTTTTTCAGCTCAGCAGCAATCAGTAGGAGAGTTTTCTGTCAGTCCTTGAACTCTGATGGTGATTTATTTTATCATTAGTCATCTTTATCTTGCAATTTAAAGTTTTTTTTTATCTTGCTGGTTAAAGTCATGAGCAAAGTCATGAGCCATATGACTTTCTTGAGGTTTGTTCTTGCCTAGGGTAAGGTGTACATCTACTTTGGTTGCAAGCAAGGAAGAATGTCATCTTCCCCCAACATCACCATCTCTTGCCAGGTATGTTTATCACCTTAGTCAGATGCAGAAAACTAGAATTCACTGTATCTTCATTGGCTCCAGGGCTAAGTCAAATGTGGTTTCCTCTTAAGGATGTCTACTGTAACTTGGGCTGGACACTCTTGGCTGCAGATATGAATGGGGACAGCAAGCCCGATCTGGTGATTGGTTCCCCTTTTGCACCAGGTGGAGGCAAACAGAAAGGAATTGTGGCTGCATTTTATTCTGACCCCAGCTGGAGTGACAAAGGTAGTGATGGCTGGAGGGATGTGTGGATATTCTCTGTTCTATACGTTGGGAATGACTTCTCTTGTATAGGGATTTATGTCCTTACTTCCTCATTTCATGTCATTTCACCTGAATTTTTCTAATAGTTTTTTACATTTGCAGATGTTTTGGTGAATGATTTGGATAGATTCCCTGAAGATACGTAAAAGATCCAACTTCTAGATCCAAATTTACTAGAGCCAGTGGGTTCTCATAGTCTCCCAGTGTAAGAGCAGAAACACTAATTAAAAGCACCCCTGTAGTGCTCTGCCCATAGGAGCACTTTATAAAAAATATTTGCATAAATAATACATTTTTTAAAGTGTCATGAAAAATTTACCTAAGAGCTGGGATTGCAAAGTTGGGCAGTCAACATGTTATACTATATGCTACACCAGAGGGACACTCTTTTTAAGTAGCCTTCTCCACTCCCCAGAAGTGAACTCTACAAATGTATTTCTTTTGTTTTTTTAAATTTTATAACAGTTTATTTTTACATCATTTTGTACATTTTCTTTTTCATCTCAATTGTAATCCCCGCGGGTTTCCCATCACCAAGTCACCCGTGTGCCATCACCATAATCCCGCACACTTCCCTCCCCACCCCCCCGTTTTTGATCCCATTCCCTACTCCACCCCCGCAAAATGTCTCTGGTAAATGGCTGTTCATTATTCTTATTATTTTTTCGCCTGGTCCATTATATTCCTGCTATGAGCGAAACCATCTGGTATTTTGCTTTCTCTTTCTGGCTTATCTCACTGAGCATGATCTTTTCCACCTCCATCCAAGTTGCTGCAAAAGGCATGTGTTTCTCTTTTTTGGTTGCTGAGTAATATTCCATTGTATATATGTACCACATCTTTTTAATCCAGTCATCTACTTTTGGGCATTTGAGCTGCTTCCATGACATTCCAATTGTAAATAAAGCAGCATTAAACATAGGGGTGCAGATATCTTTTTCAATCAGTGTTTTTGTGTCTTTTGGATAGATACTTAGGAGTGGGGTTGCTGGGTCGTAGGGAAGCTCCATGTTAAGCAGTTTGAGGAATCTCCAAACAGTTTTCCATAGTGGTTGTACTAGTTTGCACTCCCACCCGCAGTGCAGGAGAGTTCTTTTTTTCTCCACATCCTCGTCAACACACAAATGTATTTCTTATATTAAGCGGCAAATGTATTTCTTATATGAAGCCCCCATTTTTGAATGGGAGCTGCATAGGAGTTCTGGCAAAAACTCAGCAGAACGAACCTGTTTTTCATTATCCTACAAAAATAACTCTTGCCACTTCAGTTTTCCTCCCACCTGAAGTAGAGGGACTGGTTGTCTTGTGTAGAACAGTTGAACGTGGAGGCAGCCAACTGGACGGTGAGAGGTGAGGAGGACTTCTCCTGGCTGGGATACTCCCTTCACGGGGTCAGTGTGAACAACAGAACTCTGCTGTTGGTGGGGAGCCCGACCTGGAAGAATGCCAGTAGGTGAGTACAGATGTTGGGACCCAAGCAACCCAAAGGGTAGGTACCTGTTGCGTGGGAGCCCATTAAGTATAGGGTTCAGAATAAGGATTGAAGAAGTTGTCACCCTTTAAGGAAAGGCTAAGGTTCTGGGGAAAAGCTGCAAGTTCAACTTCTTAGAAGTTTAAAAATGAGGTAAATAGGTGTAGTAACTTGCCAGTGTTGCCATTAAAGTACCACAGACTGGGGGCTTAGACAATAGTTATTCATCTTCTAAAGTTCTGGAAATTGGAGATCAAGGTGTGGGCAGGGTGAATTTCTTCTAAGGCTTCTCTTGTTGGCCTGCAGATAGCCAGCCTCTTCTCTGTTTGTGTCTATCCCTGATCTCTTCTTGTCAGGACACTACTCATACTGGATTAGATCCACCCTAATGACCTCATTTTAACATAATAATTATCTCTGTAAGGATTCCATCTCCAAATTGGTCACATTCTGGAGCAGCGGGTGTTAACTTCAACACACGAATTTGGGGAGATACAGTTGAGCCCAGAACAGTAGGTTCCCCAGGCTTTGTTGTTAGTTGAGAGGCAAGATGGTAGACTTTGTGTATGGAAGATCTTATTACTGGGATTCACTCTGAAAGCACCCCTATTCCCAGGTTTCAGAGCACAGACTGAGAGCCTGCAGGAGGGGGGTATAGATGAGGTGGAGGTGTATCCTTATTTTGCACCTGAAAACTGACCAGGTCTGACCCAGCACCTCAGCCCAGTGTGTTTCTTTCCAGTTTAGGCAGTCTGTTCCGCACTCACGATGAGAAACAGAGCCTTGGCCGGGTCTATGGCTATTACCCACCAAACAGCCAAAGCCGATTTACTATTTCTGGGGACCAGGTATGGCGGCCATTCCCTCCCAGGAAAGTGGACATCACAGAGAGTTCCTTAGGTGCTCTGCTCATTGGATTCATTGCATTTCACAGGCAATGGGGAAGCTGGGTACGTCCCTGTCAAGTGGCTCTGTGATGGTGAATGGAACCCAGAGACAAGTACTTCTGGTTGGGGCCCCAACTCACGGTAGGTCATGAATCATGTGGTCTAGTCATGTGGTTCCTTGACCATGATATTGAGGAGAGTAATGAAATCTGAAGTCAGATAGAACTGTTTGGGCTGCTTCCTTTCTTCAGTAATAGCAAGCTGTGAGACCTTGTTAAAATTACCTTTTCTCCCTGAAGCTTAGTACCATCACCAGCAAAATACAAATTATAATTCCCACCTCTAATATTTGTTGAAAATCACACATGAAAGATTTAGTGTGTGTGTGTGTGTGTGTGTGTCGGGAGGTGGGCTCACTGGTGGCTCAGGATTTAAATCCTGAGGAGGAAAGAAATGTTTCCAAAACCAATCCGGCCAATGTTTAGTGCTTTGTTTTTTTTTTAAAGATTTATTTTATTTAAGCATACAGAACTGGGGCAGGGCAGCATGCAGGGGCAGTTTGTTCCGCACTCACGATGAGAAACAGAGCCTTGGCCGGGTCTATGGCTATTACCCACCAAACTGCCAAAGCCGATTTATGGCCTGAGTTTGATCCCTGGCCAGGGAGTTGACCCATGTGGCACTGTAGATCTCTCCTGTCTCCCCGCTGCCCCCCTCAGCAGTGTATTTCAGTTAATCCACCTGTAGATCTGCCTGTCCTGTTGCCTACTCTGTCTGATGAATCCTGTCACCTCCCCTGTGCCTCTGACCTACACTCCAGTTCTTCCACGCAAAAAGAAAGATTTAGACATCCATATATATATATCCAGATAGTATGTGACTATGTCATTAAATACTCTTCTAAAATTGGGTTCTGATCCACAGGACATGCCAATATGTTGCTAACATAATCCTAATGCTGGAAATTTAGGCAAAGGAATAGCTTGACTCAAGACAGTGTTAGAACACTAAATGGGCCCTCCCTGGTGGTTCAACTGGTTTAAAGCACAGCACTGCAAGGAGCCGCAGTGGCTTCAGTGAGAGTTCCATCCCCTGCCCTGGAGGTGACCCACATGGCATGGCAGACCTCTCCTGACCAGCCCACTGCTCCCCTCAGCAGTGTACTTCATCAGTCGGCCTTTCCTGTTCCCCACTCTGTCTCTGGTGAATCCTCTTACAGCCCCTGCATGCTGCCCTGCACCCCAGTTCTGTATGCTTAAATAAAATAAATCTTTAAGGCCCTCCCTGGTGGCGCAGCGGGTTAAAGCACAGCACTGAGAATCTAAAACCGCTTCCGCATGAGTTCGATTCCCACCTGCCCTGGAGGTGACCACATGGCGTGGCAGACCACCTCCTGACCCGCCCGCTGCTCCCCTCAGCAGTGTACTTCGTCGATCTGCCTGTTCTGCTCCCCACTCTGTCTCTGGTGAAGCCTCTCGCCGCCCCTGAGCCTCTGGCCTGTACCGCAGTTCTGTATGTACAAATAAATAAATCTTAAAAATAAATAAATAAATCTTTAAAAAAAAACAAAGCACTAAACGTTGGCCGGATTGGTTTTGGAAACATTTCTTTCCTCCTTCACAGAATTTAGGTAGTGACTTCTCAACTGTTGCAACACACATTACTTGTTTTGTCTCACTGCTCTTTCTGTCAGAAAGCTGTGAATTCCAGCTCCCCAATTTCCTACCTTTGTAATTTTGTTATAAAATATTCTGTAAAATAAAAAGGTAGATAGATCTCGTCATTCACAAATTAAACTTTTGGAAATTGTAAATTCGTGTGCACTTATAAGAAAAAGTAGAGAGATTGGTTTCATTTTATCTAGTTTCCCCAGTTCTGTCTTGAAAACTTTAATATCACAACCAGTTATCGACAGCAGTATGCTCCAGTGATCTAATCTGTTTAGATTTTCCTATTTTTACCCACATAATCTGTGGGGCCCAAAACAAAATGAAAATGGAAAATCCTTTGCTATAAAATTATTCAGAATTTCAAGTTGGTTGACAGGAGACTAAAGCCCAACACAGCACCACAACCCCATCCCTGCTGTGACTGCAGAAGTCACAGTGTATCTGTGTCCTAACAAGTTAGCTCCTTTTGGCCACTGGAAAACTTCTTAAACCTTGGAATCAGATTTGACACCATTAACCTCGTGTCCAGCCCACACAGATTTTGTTCCTGGGGCCATCATTTTACTGTTAATAACTATCAAAACCCTAGTTTTGCAAAGGTAGGATGTCATCAAAAGGAATGTAAGGCTTTAGTGTTGACACTGTAAATGCCTCCAGGTAGTTTATGAAGCAGCAGACAGACGGCATCGTGCTTTCTTCAAAAGTTCAAAGTCACTTCAGCCTCCTTGTGAGTTCAGCAGAGTGCTTCTGTGTGCAGTTTGGAATCACATCTCTGTGGTACAGATATACTGAGACACGTGCTCTACTTTTAGAGTAACCCATCTGGGTGGTGTTCTGGGTCTTGAGTGATTGACAGGCCCATGCTCATCACCCTTTCCTCTGCTGTAGGCTTAGAAGTCTTTGGTTCAGACCATGGCCACTACACAAATCAGATATTTAGTCAGAAATTTTGGGGTGTTGATTAATAGCTAGTAAATATTTCACAGTATGAAAAATACTCAATGATGGCAAGGTTGAGGTGAGATGTGTATCATTATACCGCTTGGCAAAAGAGCAAGAACTTAAAAAAAAAAGCAATCTCTCTTGGATGTTATATGGACCACCTCTAAGAATTCGTGCTCAGAAAAGATTTAAAACTGGGGAAGACTTATCACAGTATTATTTATAATAGCAAAAAGTTAGAAATGGTCTATATGTAAAAAGAATATAGAACTTCATAATCTTCCAAATTCTAAATTTTGGTTAAAGTGTGTAATTATATGTCACACAGTACACACTCCCGAATATATACATCATTTTGCAGACAGAAATACACCTGTAAACTGACAGTCTGATGTGGGGACACGGGGACTGCTGCTGCCCCCTGCTGGTGATTTTGCAGGAGGGCCCGGCTCGTAGGGAAGGGATTGCAGTGGAGGTGACAATGAGTCAGATTCTGGAAGAGCCAGTCATTTGCCAGCAGAAGCATAAACACAGCTTCTGAGGAGCCTGAGGGAGACTCTTCTCAAGGCGGAGAGCACATCACATCCAAAGGCCCAAATTTAAGAAGCATTAGTGGATTGTGGTTTAAATTTGCAATGAGTCAAGTGTTGGTGAAAGGGAAAAGGTGGCCCCAAAGAAAGCTAGAGTCCTAAATACGAGTTAGACTCTATGAGGCCTTGAAGAGTATGGATTTCAGCCAAATGGCTGTAAGTGAGGAGAGTGACATAGATGATTTATGATGTAAAAAAGCTGTGTGGAGGATGTGTGGAGGTGGAAAGACTGAGTTTTGATGGGATATCACTGAACATACTCATATAAGGGTCTTGGGGTCCCAGGTCGTTGTACCTTCCTGACAATTAGAGTCGACAGGCACGAACTAGTCTGTACTGTATAATTGAGTGATTTGGGTTTCTTGTGGTATAAAAGCATGAAGATGTTATTCAGTGCGCTGCACCCTAGTTTTAATTTTATGAATGGCAGCAGGAACGGTACTGTGGTTTATTTCAGATGACGTGTCCAAAATGGCATTCCTGACCATGACCTTGCACCAAGGTGGAACTACTCGGATGTATGAACTGACATCAGACTCTCAGGCTTCGCTGCTCAGTACTTTCAGTGGAGACCGCCGCTTCTCTCGATTTGGTGGAGTTCTGCACCTGAGTGACCTAGATAACGATGGCTTAGGTAGGAAAGAATTAGTGCATTTGCTGGACAGACCAGTCCCTAACCAGATCGTCTGGGCTCCGTCCTCATCCTTGACAGTCCAGTGCCAAGGGGCCTGCAGGTAGAATTGGTTAGGTAAGACTGGAGCCAGATGTACAGAGTGAGTAGTGAGTTGTACTGCTTGAGAGTGGTAAATATGAATCGCCCATGTCAGATGTTATTGATAAATGATGAAACAAGCCTTTGACTGTGCTGGGAGCAGCCAGGGTCGGCTAATTGAAGGACACATTAGTAATACTAGGGAGGCTGGGCTACTTCCAGTAGTGGAACAGTGGAAAGGATGACAAGATACTTTCTTCTGGCGGGTTTTGTTTACAGATGAAATCATCATGGCAGCCCCTCTGAGGACAGCAGATATGACCTCCGGACTGATTGGGGGAGAAGATGGCCGTGTTTATGTTTATAATGGCAAGCAGACCACTTTGGGTGACATGACAGGCAAATGTAAATCATGGATTACACCATGTCCAGAAGAAAAGGTAAAGTGTTCTCATGTAAAATGCTATATACCATGTTGATGGCACACGGGTGAATTGATGATGGGAAGCCCATGGGGCTACACTGAGATGAAAAAAGGCACAAAATGATGTAAACATAAACTATTACCAAAAAAAAAAAAAATCTATGCCAAGTTGGGAAAGGATGGCCATTTGCCAATTCCTTGTTTAATTACGTCCACTGAGGTCCTCCACTGAGGTCCTGGGTTCAAGGACACAATCTCTTGCCTGGAGTTTCCCGGCCCATGCAGCATTTCCCTATCGCTAAAACCCAGTTGGAACTGGTGTTATTTTGGTGCTCAGTTAGGAAACCAGAGCAGAAGAAATCCAGCTGCAACCCTTTAGAGTTTTGAGTAGCTATTTCATTGTTCCTTTTCTCAGGTTTCCTGGAACTAAGCACCAAATTCACTAGTATTTACTTTTTTTTTTTTTAAGATTTATTTATTTATTCATACAGAACTGGGGTACAGGCCAGAGATGCGGAGGGTGAGAGGCTTCACCAGAGACAGAGCAGGGAGCAGAACAGGCAGATCAACGAAGTACACTGCTGAGGGGAGCAGCAGGCGGGTCAGGAGAGGTCTGCCGCGCCATGTGGTCACCTCCGGGGCAGGCGGAAATCGAACTCATGCGAATTGGCTTAAGCTTCTTTGTGCTGTGCTTTAACCCGCTGCGCCACCAGGGAGGGCCCAGTATTTACTTTTTTAACGAGGCAGCATTGGATGTGATTCAGAGATACAGGATCCCATCTCTTACGATATATGCTACTATACATATCGTCCTCCACCCCACTTAAAAAATTATGGTAGGGCCCTCCCTGGTGGCGCAGCGGGTTAAAGCACTGCACTGAGAAGCTAAAGCCACTGCAGCATGAGTTCGATTCCCGCCTGCCCCGGAGGTGACCACATGGCGTGGCGGACCTCTCCTGACCCGCCCGCTGCTCCCCTCAGCAGTGTACTTCGTTGATCTGCCTGTTCTGCTCCCCGCTCTGTCTCTGGTGAAGTCTCTCACTGCCCCTGAGTCTCTGGCCTGTACCCCAGTTCTGTATGTACAAATAAATAAAAATCTTAAAAAAAAAATTATGGTAAAAATCTTAGAAAACACAAACAAATCTACCCAGAACTTCACCTTGCAGAAATGCATGTTAGCCTTTTGATATGGGTTGCCTAGTATTATTTTGCTATTGCCTTGATATCATTTTTTGCATTTACTCTGTCTAGCACTATGCTAAGCACAATGAAACTATCAAGTTGGTATTTTGCCCATTTATAGATAGAGCAGCTGAAGATCAGAAAAGTTGTTTTAAATCAAATTGCTAGGAAATAGTCCAACAGCTACTTGAGTCAAGGGCTGATGTTAATGCTCACATCAGCATGTTAGTTCACATTAGATGTTAATTTGTACATTAACAACAATCTTTTTGCACATAATTTTGCAGACTTTTATTACTACTATAAGATTTTTCTATGTCAACTTGTATTTTTATACAACCCATTACTGGATGCTTACTGTTGTCTGTATAGATAAACCATAGTTTAACCATTATTAATGGCCATTAGGCTAATAGAGTACGTTTCTGAGCTAAATTCCTACAAGTGGAACTTTCAGTGTCAAAGAGCATGCAAATTTTACTCTAGAAGTGTCAAAATGTCAATGTAAGGGTATATTCCTATTACTGTGGGTTTTTCAAAATCAATTTTATTAGTCTCCCTTTCTCACTATTTTCTTTCAGGCCCAATATGTGTTGATTTCCCCTGAAGTAAGTACTGCCTGAAGAATGATGAAAGAAAAACTACCAAAAAAAGTCTTTCCTTATTTTAAGGTGAGATAAAATAATATGGCATATTTTACAGGCAAGCTCAAGGTTTGGGAGCTCTATGATCACTGTGAGGTCCAAGGAAAAGGTGAGTCCCAAGTATCAAGATTGCACTCCTTTGATATTTGTTGAAAGGCTGTTATTTGGGGATGATCTTGTTTTGTTTGTATTTCCTTAGAAAAGAGGAATATAAAAAGGAAAATAGCATCTCACATAACCCATTACTTTTTTTTTTTTTGAAGATTTATTTATTTGTGCATACAGAACTGGGGTACAGGCCAGAGGTGCAGGGGTAGTGAAAGGATTCACCAGAGACAGATTGGGGAGCAGAACAGGCAGATCGACGAAGTACACTGCTGAGGGGAGCAGTGGGCGAGTCAGGAGAGGTCTGCCATGCCATGTGGTCACCTCCGGGGCAGGCGGGGATCGAACTCATGCTGCAGTGGCTTTAGCTTCTTAGTGCTGTGCTTTAACCCGCTGCACCACCAGAGAGGGCCCTCTAATGGCTTTTTAATGGTATACTTACTCTTCTACTGTCTGGAACATACTTTATTTCCAATTTTTACAATTATAGGTAATACTACTGAGCATTCTTGCAGCTCTCTCTTTATATAACTGTACATATCTGCTAGATTAAGGCTTTATTTTAAAATATTCTGCTAAACCATGCCAGTTCCATTCATTAATCTTAGGATATACAGATTTTGGGCTAAGCTGAGAGATACAAAGTGGTATATGATTTACATGCTTGTAAAGTTAAATAGAATGCAAATCACTAAAAGATTAAATGCTAAAGAAAAGTGTGAATAGTAAGTACCATACATTGAGGTTTGTAAGCTGTGTTAAATATTGTGGACCCTGTTTTGGTTTATAAGAATTTCAGTGAAATTGCCTCCTATTGGTCACCAGTTTAAGTGGACAAGCCTGAGAGCAAACTTTCTGGGTTAACCACAAATAAAAAAGAATTTTAAGTTAATGTCAGGATTTTCAAAAGGTCTGGTCACAGAAATATTGTAAATTACCTTGCATTTGAAATTTTACTTATTTTTCAAAAATTAGATGTTATCAATGAATCAACCATTATTTATACCAACTGAGGAGAGTAATATAGATCATTAAAAAGTAACAAATTTTTTCTATAGAACATAGCAGTTGACCTTCCTAGTAGTAGTTTCCTCGAGTCAATATTAAAATTGTAATCAGGAGTGTTGGGAAAATGAAACAAAGGAAAACCAGATTAAATTAAACCAGAAAACTAAAGACAAAATAGAAGTAGCAAAACAATGGGACTAAATTTTCCAGTCAAAAGGCAGAATGTGGCTGGTTGGATCAGAAAACAAAACCCAAATTTTTGCTGGATCCAGGAGACCACAGAGGTCCAGAGATAAACATAGGCTTATTAGTAAATGGTCATAAAACAATCCAACCAGCAAACCAAACCCCAAAAGGTGGGAACAATACTTATTTCAGATAAAATAGAATTCCAGCTAAAAAAGGTAACAAGAGACAGGGATGGACACTACATACTGATTAAGAGTAATACGTCAGATGTTTCATAATAATCATCAAAACATAGACACCAAATGAAGAAGCATCAGATTATGTAAGATTATGTATCTAAAAGAAATAGGGGACTTCATCTTATATCAAAGGACAAATCAGGAAATTAACAAGGGAAAATTGATAAGACCAGATGGTCTTAACATTTAAGGATACTACCTCCAAAAACCGAATACATATTCTGAAGAGTGCATGGAACATTGTGAAGGACAGACATTTGGGGGCATAAAACAGACGGTAAATTCATGAATACTCAAATCATCATCATGTATCTTATCTGATCACAATATCAAACTAGAAATCCAAGCCAAAAAAATCTATGATATATGGAGAATGAATGAATAATTGGTGCATTAATGGGAAAATCAAACAAATTAAAAAAAAAAAGCCCAACACATCAATGATACAAAAAGCAGTTTCACTGAAAAAGCAAAGTAGACAAAGAAAAGGAAGTTATAAAAGACATTTCAGAAATAAGAGTATCATAAGACATTAATATGAATATATTTATGCCTACAAGCCTGGGAGAAATTGAATACCTTAAGAGACTAATGACAAACACAGAAATTGAAACTGTAATCAAAAGGCTTCCCCCAAAACAAACCCAGGATAATTGAGTTCTATGCAATTTTGAGCAAATAATACTTATCCTTCTCAAACTCTTGCAAAAAATTGAAGAGGAAATGCTCCCAACCAAATTATATGAGGCCAACATTATTCTGATATTCTGTGTCATGGATTGGAGGAATTAACATCGTTATGTTAAAATGTACATAATGTAGTGTACCAAAGTAATGTACACACAGTGCAGTCCCTAACAAAACTGATTCTATTAATAGCATTCTTTACAGAGATTTTTAAAAAGCATAAAATTTGGCAACACAGTGACCCTGATAGCAAACAATCCTGAGGAAGAGAGGTCTCTTGTCCCTGCCCCTGCCCCCTCAAACTACAGCAGAAAGTGACAGTAACCAAAATAGATTATATTGGAATAAAAACAGATCCGTGGAACAGAACTAAGAGTTCATGAATAGACACATGTGTATGATCAGCTACTTTATGACAAAGAAGCCAAAAGCATACACTGGAACAAAAGTCTCATCTATATGTGGTGTAGGAAAACTGGCCACATGAAAAGAAATGAAATTAGACCACTAACACCATACACAGAGGTTAACTGCAAATAGATTAGGGACTTGCAAGTGAGGCCTCAACTATGAAATACACACAGAAGCCAGAGGACATGCTCCTAAACCCTGGCCCAGAGACGTCCTTGGAACTTAACAGCAAGGCAGACAAAACCACAAAGAGAAAATGGGACTATCAATCTAAAAACTTCTGCACAGTGAAAAGAAATTGTCATTAAATGAGAAAGACAGCCTAGTAAATGGAAGACATTTGCAAATCATGTATCCTAAAAGGAAGTTAATTCCCAAAATATTTTGGAACTTAAAAAGCTGTTAAAAAATCACCGGAATGAAATGGGTAGAGAATGTGAAAAGACATTTCTCTAAAGACAAAGCCAGCAGGCATATGAAAATATTTTCACACCTCACTTACCAGCCTTGGTTCAGAGTATCTTTTGGTGGTTACTAAAATAAAATCCAACTTAAAGCTTATCGATTTGCCACCAATGAAAATGTTGAAAAATTTGTACCAGGCTTGGAAGGGAATTCCAAAGGCTGGATCTTAGCAGTAGGAAGTGGTGGAAACACACTGACAAAGGAGCCCTTCATGAAAACCATCACTATACCAGATAGGCCGCCTGGGGTACCACAACCAGGAAACCAGAATGAGCATGCTCTTTATTATCTGTGTCAGCGGGGACGCAGTGAACTTTCCTAGTTGTGGTTTCGGAACCTATTGAAAGGAGCAAGTGGCTTTAAACTAAAGAAAGAAAAGAGGTATTTTGGGAGTAGATTAACAGGGAATGGCCAGTATCTTACCTGTGACTGTATCTCCCGACTATACAGGATGCCGGGATTACAGCAGGAACTTCAGAGCTGTGATGAATGAATAATGAATTGTTTTGTGTCCTCCACAGAATCAAGTGGTCATTGGTGCTGGAAGGAGTTCTTTTGGAGCCCGCCTCTCAGGGGCCCTCCACATCTACAGCCTTGGCTCAGATTAAAGATTTCACTTCTCCTACCTAGCCCTCCCTCTCTCCTGCTACACCATCTCCAGGGTGGGAGGTTTGGTGGACAAAGTGGCATGAACCTTTGTAGATTCTTCTAGACAAAGATGAGGCTCCTGGGAGTGAAGACATACACAGCCAGGCTATCTGGGCAGATGATAAATTATGACTACATCAGAATTATGGCAAGTAGCAGACAGTGGTCATTCATGCCCTGTTGTATGCTGAATTTCTGCTTCCATATAATTCCTAGAAAGTCTTCTGTTTATCTCTTGGGAAAATCTCTACACACAATTCCTTCTTAAAGATGTCCTTTTAAAATTGGTGACTTTCTATAATCAAAATGAAATCGCATAAAGCAAGGTCAAACAGTAGAGAAACAGAATGAATGAAAAAGTATGGGGGTGTGAGGGATGACCTCAAAACTCCAAAATCATGTGTAAATGATATGGTTGCTTATGAATGAGAATTATTTTGAATGTTTCATATAGTGAAGGACAAATGTAAAAACTGCAGAACAAGTCACTTCAAGAGTGGCCTCTGTTGCATTAGAGGCCAAGTTGTGCCACCATAGCAAACACAAAGAGAAGAGATCTGGCCTGAGCTAAAGGCTACTCACTGCTAAGGAACCAAGAGGAGTGGAACAGGCTTGGCTTTACTTATTCCTGGGCTGGTTTTAATAGTGTAGTTTCACCTAGCAGGCCTGCAGGCATACTTAAGGAGTAGGAATACACCATGGAGTTTTAGTTTTACTACAAAGGTACAGGATTATCTGTAAATATAACTACTTTACTCTGTGTCAATAAGGAAGAACCTCTTCTGATACCAGTAAAAGGAAACCAAGAATAGGAGAAGAATAACACAGGGCAGGAGCCCTTATCAGTTTCCCGAAGAGGCAGAATAGATGGTCTAAGGAGTCCCGCTGAAGCATAAAGTTACATCAACTAGAAGTTAAAGTTGTGAGCATAAAGTGAGTCCACATAAGAAAAGAACGTGAATAGGCACACAGCTGGGCAGCTCCCCTGCTTCCTCCTGGCATTTCCATCTTTCTTAAAGAGATATGTGTTTGGCTTAGTTTGGATAACAATTACTGGCAACTCATTTCAGGAAGTATTTTTAATTAAAAGGAAGTCTGATTTTAAATTACAAGGAGTTAGATGTACTCATTTACTAGGTTTCTCAAGAAGTCTGGGTGAAGAACATATTGATGACAAGGCATTTCAGCCAGGAAATGTTTCTCTCTGTACTGAATCTTTTCTTTAGAAGAATGTGTACTTTGTCATTATTGTATCAGTTATCACATGATATAACCCATGTTTAAGCCATATCAGGAAGCAACCACCAGCTGGAGATTAAAATTACAAATCATAAGCAAGTTTTCATGTAGGACATTTAACTATACTAATTCCACATAGTGAGAAGTGATGTAAATAGTGCTCCCGCTAATGGAGGAAATCCTGTATAGCAGATAGGTGAGAACAAAAAAATATATATTACTATCAAATGTATTATTCAAGCAGATGGATTAAATTTTCATCCCAGTAAGTAAGAATTAACTGTAGTTCTAAAATGTTTGCTCTGAAATGTATAGTAGCAAAGATGGGGAGACCTTGTAGGGTTTTAAACTCTCATTAATACGAGTCTAAATTTATACGACAAAATTACTTTTATTTCAAGATAGCATATCACATTTACAGGCTTTCACTGTTTATTTATGTATATACGTTACAACTTTGAACTTTTCGATCGAAATTGTTTTATGTCGTTGCATAAGATCTAAGAGAATAAATACGATTTAAGTTTGGGAGTAACTGTTTCTGAAGTCCTTATCCCATGCATCGCCCATTCCACCATTCTGTAGCTATTACTGATGTAAATGAAAGTAAATCTTACATTTAAAGTGTGAGCTTAATGTTGCAATTCTAAGCAATGAACATGTGTACAACTTTTGGGGTAACTTACCGAAATAAATAGCTTTATGAGATTGCTTAACAGTTATTTAAAACAGTCTGAGTTCCTCAAGAATACAGCAAGTGCTAATAAGATCCTAAATGATGTCTATTCTGCATACTACTTAAGAGCTTTCCAAAAGCAAAGGCATACTGTTAAGAGAGACATATTTTGCATTTTCACATGCTAAAGAGAGGTTAAGATTACTTAATTAAGTTTGGTATTTATTCCATCACCTTACTTTCAAATAGTAGTTTATGTGCTTAGTTTATTCTTTCAACTTAAACTTTAAAACTACTCAACATTTTTTCTTTTTTTTGCATAGGTTGTTTTATTAAAGAGAACTTTAAGAAGTATCCTGAAATCACCAAAGCTGAGCTAGTTGAGTATGAAAGGTAGATCAAATCATATTTGATATAAGCACCTTCACAATTTTATAAGCCATTGGTAACTTCCCTTTATCAGACTTAATGAGGTAGTTGCATTTATTTTCCCTTTTACCAATAAAACAGACTTATCAAAAAAAAAGTTTATAAACAAAGTCATAACTCAAGGAAAAATGACCAGTATCCTATCTAAGCCCTGATTAGTTAAATCATTTTGCTCTCTGCTTTGAATTCCTCCTATGGTACAGTTAAGTATAGTTAATATTACTTGTTTATTTTACTAGTTTTGAGGAGTGCCAAAGAGTGCCCTATGAAATGTTAAGTATTATCGAGGATACTTTATCCCAGAAATCAAGCAGGTTTCTCATATCCCCATGGAGAAGCCAGGAACGTGCTCCTGACAGCAGCAAGGGCCCCTTGCGGCCCCTAGCCCAGCCCAGCCTGCCGTCCCATCCCGTCCATCCCAACTTCTCATCCCAACTTCTCGTCAATGACTTCCACAGCCACTGGCGCAATGAGGAAAACTTAACCTGTGACTTCATCTGTCTTTTTGAATTAGTTACTACACTGGCATTTTTATTTCTATTACCAGACCAGTTGGTAAACAGACCCTTCGGGAATGAACAAAACAGCTATAACACTAACGAAATGAATAAACTTTACTTCCAATGGCTTTGACAGTTAAGCAAAGAAAAAGTTTTAGGGGTGAGAAAGTAAAACCTGATTAACTAAAATTCATATAAATTCATATAGCTCTTGTTAAAATATTTTTATTCACCTAAAAAACAAACAAACAAAAAAAAGGCAACTATAAGTCAAGGATTAATTTAAAGCACAAACTTCCAGAGTTTATTTTAAGGTCAATATATATTTTGCTAGCTTTTTAGTGACCTGTGTGTGGAGTGTGAAGATTCACAAGAATATAGTTCCTTGTGGGAAAAGGGGGCTATTGTGATTTAAAAAGGTGGTTTTGTTAAATTTCCAGGCTTTTACTCAGCATTAAATTGAACTTTTCTTGATAGGTATAAATTAAAACTTAACTGTGTCAACACTTTACAAGTCTCATGTCTACAAAAACAGACTTTTAAGTTTATAGGAAATAGATTTTGGCCTTTTGAAACAAGCACTTTCTTTTCTCAGAATTCTGAGAAAGCAGTGAAGTTTGGTGACCGCCGTTATACTTTTTACTGGCAGATATTGTATTTTAAATATCAGTAATTTTTTTCAAGTCCCTGAATCTATAAAAGTCATAAGAACAAGAGGCTTCTCCTACGACCCCCATAAGAAATACCAGGTGCCACTGTGTTTTCCCTAACGGTTTGTTAGGACATTCCTGCTTGATCCGAATCCATCTGGCCTGAAACTGTGTTTCAATTCCATCCTTCTATCTGCCTTTTTAGGTAAAGACGCCATCTAAATAAAACAGAAAAACCAATTTTAGTTTGTTTCTCCTAAACAAAAAACCACTAGTAAATTGATACACTAATACTAAATGAGGGAAGGGCTGCATGTTCATTATCAGCATCCTAATGATAATTTATTTATTATTAAAATATTTATTCTAAGAGTATGAACTACAAATCGAAAGAAAAAATACAGGGATGCTTTTATTTTAATGAGAGTACTATATATGTGTCCTACATTCAAATTTGGTTATGACAAAATCTGTATCAAAAATACATCTCTCTAAACATAAAATATAATGCCTGTCACAGTGTTCAGCACAAAGTAAATTTAATTTCTTATTTATTGTACTAGTCACTGCTAAATAAGTAAATGCTAAATGTAAGTATTTTACACGTTATCTTATTTAATTCTCCCATTAACTCTTTGAACCAGGGGTCACTGACTTTACTGCCAGATGAGAAAACTGAAGAGACTTAGAGAAATTAAATAACTTGGTCAAGGCCACACAGCCTGTGACAGATTAAGCCAAATTGTGAGACTTTAGAGCCATGAGTAATATTGTCACTGTGCTGTGAACCAGACCCTTCATACCAGAGGAGGCAAAGGAGCTTCAAGCTGGCGTCCAAGGAATGACAGCAAACGCCTCCAGATTAGGCCACTTCCCATAAACATAATTCCTGTAATCAGCCAAAACACCCTATGGTCCTAAAAGAGAACACACAGTAAGTTTCAATCTCAAAAGGTTAGGTTCCTCAGAAATAAAGTTTCCTGAATTATGATTGCCCCAGAGTTGAAAAGAAGCCTTTTCCCTCCCAGGTGTCTCTCTCAGAAAGATCTAATAAGTGCCTTGATAGCACCCCGTGTCTGCTCCAGGCAGACTAGATCGTGATGACAGGTGTGGAGTCTCATTTGTACAAAATAGTTCCCTTGCAAATTTACCAGGTCAAGAATTCCAGACGGAATGTTTCAGTCTTCATCTGAAGATCATGAAAAATAAGGCAGGGATTCACAGTATCCTTCTAAGCTACATATTGTTGTTGTATAAGAAGTACAGAAAGACATCCATATTAAACACACATACTGTCAAGCTTACAAGAACACCCCTTTGATGAAAGCAAAACTAAGAGCAACTGCACATCTGACCAGACTTGAGCACTTATAGTTGTACATTTTTTCCCCAATATGGAAATCTTTTTTGTACTACTTAATGATAACACTATGCAGCTTATAAGGATACCATAATGAAAAATGTTACTTTGTGTTTATATGTATAAAGTTTAGTAGCTATAAACAGGGCATTCAACTTAATTTAAATTATTTTGCTTATAGCTATAGTTCCTAAACCGTGAACTCAGGTACTCTGGGTATTAGTGTCCCAGATTATTTTAACTTTTCAAGGGAAACACAGTATATCTGTGGAATACTGTGAAATTTACTACGTTTAGATTGTTCTGATTTGGTTACTTCATTAAGAAACTTAATGAACTGTAATTTAATAATAAAAAACTTTTGCTTTAGAGATATGAAAAAGTTACTAAAAAACATGAAAACAAGAAAGCATTTTCTTTACTGTCATTTTCAGAACTATATAATTTTTGCTATGCAGTACTTTTAGTTCATGTGTTCATGAACTAGTTCATGTGACAGATTCACAGAATATTTTAAAAAACTTTTCATGGAATATTTAATCTCCCACAAAGAGATAACCAATCTATAGCTATAGCATTAGTTTGCTATCATTGGTTTGCCTGTTACACAAGTGATGATAGCACTGATGGAAATTTATCTCATGTCAGGCAGAAATCGGCATCTTTTTTACATGAAAAAGATGATAGATGATAGAAAGATGATAGATTTAGAAAGACATGCTGACATGTGTTAACTGTTTTTGAGTGGGAAGCCCAGTGCTAGTTGTCTAAAAAGAGTCCCTAATTTGTTAAGGAAAAAATTAACACAGATTACAATTGTTCTTTGTTGTTGGTCAGAAGCTACCTATAAATCAAAAGTCTGGGAATACCAAAAATGTGCCAATTTAAGAGATAAGCAAGTGAGAGGCAAACCAGACTCAAAAGTCACATGTCATTAAAGTACACACACATTGTGGTATAAGACCTCTAGGAAGTTAATGGAAAGGATATGTCAGAGAGTTGGTGATCTAAAGCAACTTCTGCTTTGTGTGAGCCTTGTAGTATTACTGAAATCCCTACTTCTCAAATTTAGCATATCTATTTCACTTAGAAAAAAGATGCCAACACATCATGGTATGCTGCTAGAGGCTAGAAAAACACAAAAAGCGGATGTCAAAAGTACTCAATCCCAGTATGAAAAGGACAATCAAAACAAATGGTGATAGTATGAGGTTATAACACATTGACTAAAATAAGATCCCAACGTGGATCATAAATGCATAGATAACTGGGAGAGAAAGGAATGCTCTACTCTATAACTAGTAAGTGTAGTAAAAGAGAAAGTCAGCACTGAATAAACAATCACAGTAATATGTAAGTGGGGATCAATTAGAGGATGCCAAAACTAGAGGGTGAATATTTGAAAACAGTATTTTTACATGCCTCTTAAAGCGCCTCCCTATAAGACACCTATTTCAAAGAGAAAAAGTAATTTTATAGGAAAGCTGACAGACACCACCTTACTGAAGTGATCCAAGTTGGTCTCACCAGCAGAACAAACTGACATCATTTGTCTTCTTATGGAATTCAATGCAAAATGTAAAGTGCACAATGACAAAATGCCACAAGCTTATTAATAATGAAGATGTCACATAACTGGCCGCTAATTGTGAATGTTAGGGACATGAAAGACAAAGATTAAAGAACTAGTATACAGAAGCACTTTCAATCCAGACCAGACCTGCAAAGGATGGGAAACACCTGAGACTATGACTGTCAGACAACTACCAATTCCTGTACTGGACAACATTTGGTAGGAGACTAGCTACTTTTCCAGACTTTGAATCAATGGGAAGTGGGGGGTTACCACTGGCTCTGGAAAGGTTTCCCAGTGGAAGAGGGCAGCCCTTATCTGCAAGAGGTGAATTTATAGGAATTCAATGGATATTCGTACAATGGAGTATTATTCAATGATAAGAAGCAAAAAGTAGTGTTCATTATAATATGAAAAATCTTAAAGACATGACAATACATCAAAAAGACTTTAAGAAGTGCTAGACAGGATGTGAAGAAAGAAAAACCCTGATAAACTGCTGGTGGTAATGCAAACTGGAACAGCTATTTTGGAAAAATTGTATGAGTTTATCTTTAAAATCATGGAGTAGTCCTAATGAGATGCTATGGGTTGATCTAAGGCAACAGCCAAAGAGAGAGAGGGAGAACAGACCTGTTAGGTCAATTAGGACAAAGAATCCTGTGCCAGAATATGCCATAGGATATTCAGATTTGCTTCCAGAAATCTTGTATTTTTTCTGAAAAGACAAGTTTATGATGGCATGAAAGACTCCGAGAATTCCAAATCACATTCATATGAAAAGGCAGAAGAGTAAAATAGAAAGTTGAGCTTGGGTCAAATGCTAGTTCTGTGCCATTGGGCAAGTCACTTAAATTTTTTGAGTTTCGGTTTTCTCTACAAAGTAGGGTTAACAGTTCAGTTTTCAAAATTTCAAAATTACCTACTTTCAGATAATAAGCCAAATAAAGCATGCAAACTGCTAGGTCATCAATACCTGATGCAAAGGAATTGAAAGAATTTAAAATCCTTCATTAAGGATTTTTAAAAAAAGATTTATTTATTTATGCATACAGATCTGGGGTACAGGCCAGAGGTGCAGCGGCAGTGAGAGGATTCACCAGAGACAGAGTGGGAAGCAGAACAGGCCAACTGTTGAAGTACACTGCTGAGGGGAACAGTGGGCGGGTCAGGAGAGGTCACCTCCACGGCGGGGATCGAACTCATGCTGAAGTGGCTTTAGCTTCTCACTGCTGTGTTTTAACCCGCTGTGCCACCAGGGAGGACTCTCATTAAGAGTTTTATGCCTCACAATGTAATACACTGCTTCATAGTGTAAGGTCTAATAATATCGCTTGACTTTTCAATGACTTACGCATTTATTTTACTTCATTAGGGGAGTAATTTCCTTTTTAAAATCTAGTAACAATTTACCTTCAAAATATTAACAAATAACTTTTGGATTATTGCGATAATATAGCCTCACCTCTTCAAGGGAAGACTGCAAATTCATTCCAAAGGCCACTCCCATTAGACCAAAGAGCGAAAGAGAGAAGGTTCCCATGGTCAGCTGTAGGTTCAACCTCATCATCACATTACGGTGGCTGGAGAAGAGAAGAGAACACGAACTTTCAGATCAGAAGTGCCTATGACCTATACAGTAAATTCACTAAATTTTCTATTAAAGACCTGATGGATTATATCTTAAACAAAAAAAGATATACTTCCATATAATTCTAGGTGATAATGATGGTATAAATCCTTTCTCAAATCATGATTCCTTAAAAGTTATATTGCTTACTAGTAATACATGAAGAAATTATTATTTTGTGTAATGCATGAAGAAATTATTATTTTGTGTAATGCTGTCTTACCTGTCCAGATTGATGAATATTATACTCTGTGAATCATCAATCAGTACCCTCAGCTCCCGAGCTGCATTGGAGAGATCGTCAGCTAATCGGTAGTAGTTTTCCAACAGCAGCTCCATCTCTTCTGCATGGTCAATCCCAGCACTGCTCTTTTCACTTCATTGAAGACAGTTAGCATAATTAACATAACCTTAATATGTGCAACATACTTTCAGCAGTAAAAATTTGTAGGTATTATTTCGTAAGTAATATTCAGATACTAGGACAGAACTAATTCGTAGGTAATATTCAGGTATCAAAAGAAAAAACTAGTTGCTGCTGCTCCTACTACTGTGACTCAGGCCAGTCTACGTGCGGCATTGTGAACTGATCCTAAAGGTGCCACAGGAAGGTCCAGGGTACAAATTCCATCCCTATATAGTCTAGTCATCATAACCTGTGCCCTCAATCCAAGGGATGTTTATGCAAATAAATGCTACCAGTTACAGGAAAATCCATATGTGTGAATGCAATGACATAATGCAAATCCATAGTAAATTCACTAATCCTCAAGCCACTGAGATAAAATAAAACTAAACACTGAAAATTAATATAAAGAGCATTTCCTTTTCAAGGTAAATGTATGTTATTTTCATATATGAGAAATGCTTTTGAATGATGCCAATACCTACTTTGTTCCCTTTTACTTGTATCCTCAACCCCAACCAGGAAGTTCAGTGAAAATGAAGTACACTATAAAAGATACTTATATCATGAAGTGTATTAGAACGATCAGTGAACCTAGTAAACAAAGCAATTGAGTTATTAGTTTGTGCTACTACATTTATTGTAAGACTGAAAGTAAGATACCTGTTCAGCACAGAAATAGTAAGTAAACCAAGTGGGAATGCAGTATGTTTATATTCACATTCTAGAAAAATATCATGTTCTTTATGCAAAATCTTCCTGAAGAAAGCAGAAGATTGATCCTAAGCATAATTACAAACTTACAAGACTTGCGGGTCACTCCATTTTGTTAGACAAAGCTCTTCCAGCAACTCTTCTTCATCTAAGATTTCCAAAATCGACTCTTTGAAGATTTTAATATCTGTTTCTAATTCTGATAGACTGTAAGAGCAGTTGTATAGAAATGATCAACAACATAAACTAAAAAAAACATTTCACTGTAAGAAACAGTTCCTTTTTAGGGTGCCTTATCAAGAAGATGCACTTATATTCATGGTAAAAAGATCTGTAAAAAATATTTTCAAATTTACCAACCCTATTAAGAATCAGGTACTCAATGGCATTGGTTTCATCCTATATTATTTATCTCAGAAACAGATCACTGACTTTTTTTTGAGTTTTGGTTACGAAATTTATGGCAGTAGTGATAAAAGGGCTGATAAAAACACCCCAACATTTTTGGACAAAGAACTACTGCCTGAGGAACTTTAAACTCTTGAAAGAATTTTGGAGTTTATAATTCCTGAAAGCATGTTTATTCAACTTATGATACAAACTAATTAAAATATTCTTAAATTCTAAAATGCATTATACTAAATTTGAAGAAATACTAAATTCAACTGGACTTGAATTTAGACCTGCTATTGACCAGGTGCATAAATTTAGGCAAGTTACTTAAACTTGAGGACAATACTAACTGCTAAGCAGGACTGCCTGAGATAAACTCAAAAAGGTGTAGAAGCCTGACAGAGCATTTCAGGTAAAACAGCTCCCCATGAACATTCAGTGAACATAACAGGACTTCTCAGTGTTAGTAAGTCCTGTTCGGCTTAGCTTCCCACATTAGCTGCCTTCCCACTGAGAAAGCACCATGAGCTTATCATCACCATAGCAAATGAGGTGGCAGTTTTTAAATGACCAAGCTGGTAAGAATCACACTAGTTTTGTATTTGTATTCAAGTGAAACACTTCACAGTTAAGACTACCGAAAGAGAAGTTTAAGATACTTACCTTTTGCCATTCTGCAGTAAGACATGTAGTTTGCTTTTGTCTACAGAAGAATGTTTGGGATCCACTAAAGCTTCCAATGTCTCAAGGACCAGTGGCTGCAAAATGCTAAGTTTCCCCTGAAGAGTGCTGATCTAGATAACAACATGACCTTTCATAAGAATTAAAACAAATCTTTTTAGAATACTTAGGGTCAGTGAATCCTCTGATTAAATACAGAAATCTATAGCAGTTAGGAAAGTTCATTTCAGAACATGGGCACTGTTGGAATGCCTATTCCAGATGATTCAAGAACTATTATGTCTCCTAAAAATAATCATGCATAATGTCATTAAAAGGCTTGAATCTTATTGACAGGATTAGTTTATTGACAGGATTAGTTTATTGACAGGTTTGAATCTTATTAACAGGAATTTAACCCTCATAAATGTCTCCTTTCTATAAGAGATATGGGGAGTTGATTAAAATATGTCATCCAATAGTTACAACACAAACTTTACATTTGGTAGATCTTTTATAAGTGGAGTATAATTGAAAATTCTTATGAACAAAATTTTTGAAAAATAATATAGCTGGGAATTTAAAAATCGTATATACACACATACGTATCTTGAGACTTCAGATGTGATTCGTATAGGTGTAGCTTACAAGGCTCCTGTCAAGTTAGCTAAGAGCATGAGACTTGATCAGGGGGCAATGGCACACATCCCTAGGTGTGACCAGAATGCCTGCGGGGATGGTGACTGGTATGCTTTGTGCCCCAGGCACTGATCAGTGGAACCACCTTGTTAATCAGATTAGAGCCATGGGTGGGAGCTGGGATTGTATCTTCTGACTTATCCTCCCCAAAGTCCTAAGTCCAGTGCTCAATTTGACCCACCCTTTTCTGTCAATAAAAAAGACTGGGTATCCTGTACCCTACAGCCTGTTCCATGACTCCTATTTCTTTTCTTTATCACTGTGGTTATTTCTCATGCAACAGGTCAGGTCATAAAGTTTAAGAAGTAAGTATTTCTCCAAACAGAGCTCTTAAAAGATATTTTATGTTTTTGTTTGAGGGAAGGGATGCTTAGGGAAAGATGGTAACAATATCAATTTATCTTCCTACTAGTAAGACTTTAAAACCAGACTAAATTCAAGAAATGAAACAAAAACATACCCGATATTGCAGGAGTGCTTCTATAGCTCTAAACTCAAAAGGTAAAGAGTATGTAACAAGCTGACCCTCTCCAGCCAGCTGTGAAGGGAGTTCTCGAAATAGCCAATGTTCTAAATTTAAATTACGATAATCTAATATCAGAAGACACTCAGGAGTTATCACAGCTTTCAAATACTGTAAAAACAAAAAAAGGGAAGAAATAAGCAAATTGTAGAGCTATAGGGTATTCTATTGTATTAATCTGGATTAAGCCTGCCTAAAGAAAACTACTGTTCATTTGGTTTTTAAAAAAAATAGATAAACTTTTTTAAAGAAAGGAAGCCTAAAACCCTGAATAACTACTACTCTTAAGAAATGGAAAAACAAAACAAAAAAACCCACTATAATATGAGACTTCCAAGATTATTATGAGAAAAACAGAGAATAAAGGAAACAAATGTATTGCGTAGATGTGTAGAAAAGATTTAATCACAAATAGTCTGGTTCAAAATAGCATCAAAACAGCAAGCTGATTTGAAATTAAAAAGATGAAACACAGCTTTAGTGCTCAATTTAGAACACTGTGAAATTAGAAGTTATTCTAAATTCAGACCAACTTTAAACAGAATGAAAATTGCAGCCAGAACATCCACAACATAAAATAGTGCAGTTACGCCTGTTGAGCATGTATGTAAATGATCGCTGTAAAATAAGTTCTCCTCACATGTTATGTTACAAAATGCCCTGTTTTACAACTATTTTTTACTACAATGTTAGTTTTAACTTACATATTAGTCAGGACAGGAAGTATCTTTTATAAAATTGTAGTAGGAAAACAAGAAATGAATCCTTTACCTCCATTCTTATGATGATCCTGTTGTTTCTTGTTGTGATACTCATTAAATGCTGAAACCTGAGATCTCTGGCTTGCAGGCCTAACTCTTGATATAAGTCAGTCTTCTTCTTTTCTATAAAAGAAATGTTCTCAATAAAAATTTGGCTTAATCAATACAATGTTCAGATTTTTACATCAGAGCACCTTTGCTGCCATCTTCAAGATACTTTTCTGTTACTACTAGAGAAAAAAAAAACCTAAAATGAATCCTTTCAATGTCCAGTTTTACCTCAAAAACATACCCAGGCTAAAGGCAATCATACTTATTCTTTTCTCCTCTTATCTATACTTTGTAAAATTCTATTTTGTACTTAAAAAATACTGCTATACACAGGCCGCCCTGGCATAAGGGGGCTAAGTCTCAGCCACTATGAAGCTATCTGCAGCCACTGCAGCACGAGTTGGATCCCTGGCCAGGGAGGTGACCCACATGGCACAGCAGACTTCTGTTTTGCCCGCTGCTCCTCTCAGCAGTGTATTTTAGTACATCCACCTGTTCTGCTCCCCACTCAGTCTCTGGTGAATCCTTTTATCCACTGCTCCTCTGGAGTATAGTGAATAAATAAAAATCTTTTAAAAATACTGCTATATACCATTAGGACTTCCAGCATCAATTTCTAGCTCTAACTACAGGTCATACTTTTAAAAAAGGACACATACATACATTTTCTGTTTTTCTTTATAATACCTATGTTACCATCTTCAGTATTTTAAATTTGTGAAAGGTAAGTTCAATTTTCTTCTTGCAGTATTACAAAATGAGAATGTAAAGTCAGTTCTTTCATTAGATTTTCCTACGTCCAGACTAAATTTGTTACTTTAAGAGAACACATACCAGGAAATTCAAGAAATATTAGTTTTATATGTACTTAGTGAGTCAAGTCACACCTCTGACAGATTCGCAAATAAAATAATGCTTTGCAGGAGACAATGAACAAAACAAATACATCCAAATATTCTAATAGGATCTCAGCAACAGGATCATGGGGCTGTAAGTATATGGAGATCTGATGATAAATCTGAGGCTGGTCAGTAATGCCTGTTTCATTTTATGAATCCAGATCAGCTCTCACTGGCAGAGTTCCACCTGACTGCTGCCGAAAGCTATGCCCTCCTGTCTTCTAGCCCCTGCGGTCACTGCAATGTCAGAGAATTGTCATTCTACTTAAACATGGTACAGGAGGTGATCAATGTGAAGACGAGGGCAGTCAAAGAGAGGCAAAGAAGAGAAAGGGAAGAACCTGTGCTACAGCCACAAAACAGCCTCTGCTCTCCAAAATATACTGTGTACCATTCTTGCAGTATGTAAGTGGCTCCTATCAGAAACAGACTGTTTCCATTAGGACTGATCAGTGGTGAAGATCTCTTCCAACATATCCATACATGCTTTTTGAGTTCCTTCAGATTAACTCATTCGGTGATTAAATGAGAAGTGATTTGGAAGAAAATGAAAGGTACTCACCAAAAGAAGTAACATTTCCCCCTTCATCAAATTTTGTCTAAAGAAAGGTAAACAAAAACAAAATATTATTTCCTCCCAAATTAGTATACAATATGGTATTATGTACTACATGGCATTCTCTCTCAGTGAAATATAGCTATACACCATAACTCCCCGAAAAAGGGTCAATTCAGTTATGAGAAAAAAAATCCTTTGCCTAATGCTAGAACAAAATGGTCTTGTCTTCCTATCTTGGTTCTCCTGGAAGTATGATAAAGGCTTATCAGTTGTGTTACTAGGCTATACACTTAAGGTAAAAATGCCCACTGGCCCCCTGCACTGGACTGGGAAGACTATAAATGAATTACAGGCACTTGGTGGGAAGTCAGCTCTGCATTTTTTTCTGAATGCTGTGGCTTTTGTGATTGGCGATATTCCTTAAGGGGGCCCTGGATACGCCTTTGAGAGTTCTAAGAGATAGTGGCGTGGAAGGGTAAGGGGATGCACATCCAATTGAGAAATAGTCTCCTTGCACCTGAGAGGTCCCAGCAGCAAGTCACCCCAAGGGCTTCTGAAGCGGAAACATCTGACACAGCATTTCCTATCCTTTCTCCTGCTGAACAGAGTAGGACCAGGGTGGCTAGTCTTGTGAATCTAAGGCTTGAGGCTATGAAGTCTGCCTGGTGGGTGCTACAGAAGCAATCAGATGCATAAAAGGGCCTCTTTTGGTAGTCTGGAGAGGACAGAAATGTAGTGATTTTCTATAAAGTGGAAGGAAGATTTTTCTGTTATTTCTGTCCATAGATAAGTATAAACATGTCAAATAATAATGAATCACTATGTGCTGGGTCCACATAACTACTATTATATATGTATTTTCAGAAAGACACACTCTAAGATACATTTGTAGGTACAAATCATGGGTTATTACCACAGAAATATATGCCTTCTATTAGTAATAGTAAAATCTCGCTATAAACTTTAGCTTGCCTCTCCTGAACAAGAACAGATCAATACTAATATGTAAAGGATACCGCAGAACATCAGTGTAAACAGGAAATTTATTTCAAAGGAAGCTTTCTTTTGCATGATAATCTAGCTTTCCTCCAATGTTATCTGTGACAGAAAATCTGAAAAGAAAGTAATCACCAAAACTTCAAATTTTAGAAAAAACTATGCTAATAGTATTTTATTATCTTTCTTTTTCTAGACATTTTCTTAACATACTGAGGTTACAACTACTTTTCATACTCCTCTTTACTTTCAACTTAAAAATATACACAGATTTTTAAATCATGTCATTTATATTTCATTTTTTAATGGAATTTCTCTCTGAGTAAAAATTAAGATTATACAAATTGACTTTTAAATGTCTGCTTTATAATGCAACTTGTGTTACACAGAAAGAGAGCTGATATCTGATATTCTAAATTTAGCATTTCAAACAGCATCTGCTGATTTCCTTAAGTATCCTGGTGGACTAAGTTTTCACCTATAACATCAAATTTTGTACGTCTGTTTAACTACAATGGCCAACTCTTCTAGAATACCAAATAATGCTGCTAACTTTTACATCTAAGTCCGGGATTATCTTGGCTGATGTACTTTATAAAGGAAGGTTATGTTAATATGTCTTCAATATATATGATGCTAATATATACTGAATGCTTACCATACATGAGGCATTATTTTAAGGGATACACACACACACATAGACAAATATATACATGGGTCAATTTAAACTTTACAACAACCCTATAAGGTGAGAACTATTATCCTGAGTCTAAGGAAAAGTAAGGCACAGGGATATTACTATAATTTGTCAAGATAATGGTAGAGGCAGGGCTGAGATATGATTTTAGGAACTCTGGCTTATAGGAAGCACACTTAAAAAAATTTTCTCCACTGGTTATTTTTTCTTTTATAATGAGGTGAAACTGGTTGACAACACTGTGTACGACTTAGAGGTATAGGATCACATCTTTTGGGTAGATGTTACCCACACACCCACCACCAAGGCACCCATAATCCTCCTACCATATTTAACTGTACCCTCTCCCCTCTTTGTTCTCTCCCTTCTCCTTCCCCCCAGTAGTCTTAATTGTACAGCATACGTGTGAATGAATCTTTTTTAAGAAATTAAAAACCTACAAAAATGTTGTAAAAAATTATCACACCTTTTGGCAAGTTACTCTTTCTTGAAACTTCACTGTATTGACCTGATTTCTTTCTTTAAATGTATGTCATATTGTTCTTACTATCTTATTTATTCATCTTTGTGAAGCATCTCAAAAAAGTGCCAGAAGTTATGACCCTTCAAAGCACACATAACGTATTATCCTGCATACATTATGCACAGCACAGATTCAAGCACCTTCATAGCTTATAGCTAGCTTTCAAAGAATTCCAAACTAAATCAAGTTGAGTATTCAAGTAGGAAAATCTAACTGTGCAGTATTAAAAGTTCTGCTGTAGTATTAAAAGATGAGCTTTGTTAGCAAAATTTCAACAAGAGCGCTGGATCTCCACTCACTGTCTCAGCACAACACAAAGACAACATGGTTTATAATGAGTCATTATAAAACAAAAAATGAGTACTATCATGGCTGACAGTCCAACTTAGTTAACTCAGTAAGTCTGAAGTAATTTCTGTAAGTTAAGAATATACCATACTCACCACAGTAAACACTGGGGCTACGCTGGCTAAAGTGGCTTGAGAGATATCAGAAGTTCTAAACCGGTATATTTCACCTAAAGAAAGAAGTAAATTCTCTATGGTCATACAATTGGTTTTCATGTATAGCTAAGAGACAACTTTAATAACATGGCCTAAAGACAATTTTATTATGTTTTGAGCATTTTCCCTGGAAGGAAAAATGTAATTTTATTTGTTAGGTTTGGAGGTAATGTTTTAAAAACAATGGCTTAGGTGAGGTACTAGCCTAATTTATGGGCTCCAATCAACCCTTTTCCTTTTCATTATTGGTATTTCAGTTGTGTGAACAACTGAAGCATTAAAGAGGATATCCATTCTTTTTGCCTAATTTAAAAATATTCATGTAAGTTAAGCATAGATCCTAAGTACCACCTAACCTTCAAGCATCAAAATTATTTGAGCTATAAATTATGAGACCTAAATTTTACTTTACTATTACCTTCTTTTACACAATGAGCTTTATAATGAGTATTTATGAAAAAACCCAGAGCTGGAATGCAGACCCCAATAAACTAGACATTTAAAAACATGTCTAAGTGATTAGACTGAGTTGTAATAGATCTGAAGTATAATCACGTAAATTTAATGGCAAAAGGACATAGCTGAAAACACTGAAAAAGAGGAAAGAGTGTGTAAAAATACCACCAACTATTTTATGCCTCCAAAGTAATCCTGTTGACGTCCTAGGATATGGAGATGTATTCTCATTTCTGAAGTTACTCCTTCCCATGACATCCATCTAATGTCTCATACAATATGTTACCAGGTGAGGTTTGTTTCCCTTTCACAAAATACAAATTATGTTGTAAGAGATTGTTGAATAAAGCTAAAAGCCAGAGCTATCAATTAGTATTTGCTAATCAGTCATAAGTATAGTGTTACCAGGATGGAGAATCTTCAACCTAAACACATTAGACGTGTTGAACTGGATTATTAATGGGAACAATTGCGAAAGGAACCCAATTTGGAAAAGTTTCTCCAGTGAATATAGGGAAGACGCTGGTGATGGTGAACTACTTTAGGTGGAGGGATATCTGGAGAAACTGTAATCCCTGCAACAGATAGGAAGCCGTAAACCTAAATTAATACAGTAACTATAACTGGAAGGGGGGTGGTAGGGAGGTAGGGGAAGAAGAGTAGAAGTGAAAAGTTAATTTGAGGACAGTGCAGTATCTTTGAGAAGCCATATATTTTAATCCCTTGTTTATGAGCAATAATGGTAGCACTCCACTGTCACACTTGTGAAAATACCAACCCATCATCACGCTTTATCATTTATTAAAAAAATAACTTGGATTCCTTTTCTTCTTCCCCCTTTCCTACTGCGACCTCTCTGGTTTTTTAGGTACACAACATTTGAAAAGAAAAAGATCAGATCCGTCTCAGACCTGAAGTCTCTGTCTCCGTCTCACTCCAGGGCGCATTCTCGCAACCCCACACCTGAGCAAAGGCGCAAACGTGCAAGTATATCCACGAGGAAGAGACAGAAGACCGAGAGGAGAAATGCAAACAAATTTCAGATCGATATGATAAAATTGCTGATGGACAAACCTGATCTTGACTTCAGGATTACCGAAAAGACTAAGGGGAAACACTAGCTGGAGTTTAAAAACAAAAACAAAAACCTTACAAGGGCACCTAAAATTTTAGGCGTAGACAAGAGATCTGGGCGTGTGGGTCTGAGCAGGGCACAGAGCGGTCACGTCGCAAGCTGGCGGGAGCGACACCCGAGCAAGCCGACAGACTCCTGGGCAGACTCCTGGGCGCCCAGGCGCGGACGGGATCGGTGTCCGAGGACCGCGGGACGGGGAGGTCGCTACCTGCCATGCGGATCCGGTGGGGCCCACATCGCGGAGCGGCCCGGTTCCTTCCCAGAAGTCCGGCCGCGCGGCCGCGGGCGTCCACAGCACGAGTCACAGGGGTCAGGCTCAAGGCCAGAGCACACAGGGTGCGCCGGGGCAGCCGCGCCGCAAGAGGCAGAGATCGGGTCAGTCTCCGCAGGCAGACCATGGCGCTGGAGAGAAGAGAAGGCTGCTGCAAGACCCCAGTACTTCATGCCGGACGGTGGCGATCAGCCGGCACTACGCGACCCGGCCCGGGCGCCCCAGGTGCTACAGCTGCGTACAGGGCATGCGCGAGACGCGCTGCGCGTGCGTATTCTTTCTGCGCATGCTCAGAAGGCGTCGGTAGGTGCTCTGGCTGTCGCTGGCCAATCGGAATTTGTGTCCTATACCTGCGGCCTTTACTTATAAGATGTGGAGGGGACGGGGCGTGTTTATCTTCCCTACATGAATTGCCCCAGAGAATTTCGACCCTAGCAACCTGGGAATGGGCAGGCCAACACCTAAAGCTATCGACTGGTTCCATTGCCTGGTAATCATTAAATATGAAAAATATCACATGTGGGCATAAGGCTTTGCCGTATCTGGAAAAATTTTGATAAATAGGATAAAATTTGCAATTCGGAGTAAGGGAGTTATTTCTAGTCTCAACTACATTGACGTTTTAATGTAGCAGAGATACACTTAATGGAATAATGTGGTAAACTTTTGCTAGTGAAGACTGAGGAGAAAATGTTCGAGATTTATGTATTTCATATTTGAACAAATGTAAGAGTATCATTTTCAAGCTATCATTATTTTATGTACTACCAAGAAAGAAAGAAAAAAAGCTTGTACAGTGTACTTCCTAGTTATAACATTGTTATACAGTGTACTTCCTAGTTATAACATTGTTATACAGTGTACTTCCTAGTTATAACATTGTTAGACTCATTTCAGTTTCAGTTTTTAAATTGTAAACTACAAACAGGGCCCTCCCTGGTGGTGCAAGAGGCTCCAGTGCAGAACTGTGAAGCTAACCCAACTACTGCAGCATGAGTTCTAGCCCCGGTAAGGGAGGTGACCATCATGGTAAAGCAGACCTTTCCTGTCTTGCCTTCAACCCCACACCTGAGCAACGCCTGCTCCCCTCAGCAGTGTATTATGGTCAATCTGCTTGTTCTGCTCCCCACTCTCTCTGGTGAATCTTCTCAGCCCCCTCCATGCCTCTGGCCTGCAATCCAGTTCTTGAACGCATAAATAAATAAATCTTTAAAAAAAATTGTAAACTAAAAACAATTAAAAGTTTTCTCTTTTCTCTGTTTCAACTAAAGGGGTCAAGTTAAAGAGCCAAGGCAGAGCTGACCTGGCCTTGAGAAGATACTGCATCAGCAACAACAAAAAGTTGTCTCACAGTATATCAGTATTCTCAAAGGAAAGACTTCAAAGTTTATGGCCTTGCTAAAACTCTGTGTCCAGACTCTAAGGCCCAAAAGGGATAAGGTAAATTTTAACTGCATTTCTTGTTTTCCTCAATACTTAGACAACAACAAATAGATAAAGTGATCAGATGGAGTCTGAGTGAAAGTGGACTCTATTCCCATGTATGCTAAGTCTTAAAAATAATCAGCTCAAGGTAATCTTTATGCTAAAGAGGCATATTTCCGGGTGAAAAATTATGCTCTCCATCTTTTTAGCTCCACAACATGTTAATTATGTGACCCCAACCTCATACTCTGGATTCTGTTCTCACCCAGAATTGTTTAATTGATCATAGCCTCCTTAGCGTTTCATGGCCATGATGAGTATAGCCTCCCATCAGAACCTTTCTGACTGTTCTTTTCTACCCCAATAGGATGTTGTAATATGAAACCACTATGACTAGTTCTCAGAACACTAGGACTCATGGGGTGTAATTAGAGAAGCCACTTTATTTCTGTCCCTTTAATTCTGCTGAGTGGGGCTAGTCCTGCCTCTTGAAAACTTGAGCTGATTCCATGACTTATGTTCACTCTGTCCTCAATCCAGTCATTTAAGAGTTTCACTGTATGAGCTAATTTCTACCCAGTAATTTGCAGTGTCCGACTCAATTTACTAACCACTTCAACCTTCATTTAAAGGCAAGGTTTGAACCCTCTCCCCTTGTTGAGTTTGGAGGCCACTGGGAAATTTTGGAGTGAATAGAGTATCTCTCCCTACCAGTTCACCTAGCTTTTCTCACTCCATGGTAACTGTTGCTGACTCTGCAGGGGGTGTGAGGCAAAGTAAGATGAACCAAAAGTTCTCATTGGAAGATAGTATCATGTTGTCTCCAGGCAGTGCAGATTTTCAAACTGACATGCTGAGTTTTGCTGACCTCAGACAGAAGCATCAGTTCCTCCAACCACAAATGGGATCTGTTTAGAGACAAAACAACAGAAGGGAGGGCAGATTAGGGAGTGTATTTATGGCAAGACCTACAGGCACTCCACCAAATCAAAGGCTAATAACTATAAACTTTCTCTTGTGTTCCACTGAAGGGGGAAGGAGCAGGAGATTCTAGACATGTTGAGTCCTGTCCTGTAGTTTGCTGATTTACCCTTGTGAGGATAATTTAGTCTCCCTGCCTCGTCTAAACTTAGTTCTAAATATTAGCGTTTTACTTGAGTTTCCCTTTTTCAGTGGCATGCAGTGAGTTTCCCCACGAAGGAGAGACTTATGATTATATCCAAAATGGCAGG